GATGTGCGTGAGAATGAAACCCTCGTCCAAGCTGGTGGGAATGTCGGCCAACCATTTTAGAAAACAATATGGACACTCCTCAAAAAAACTAAGATTTGAGGACCAGGAAGATCTACAGAAGGTGAGGCCTCTGCCTTCCAGGGGACAGCCCAGGTTCAATCCCCAGCACCCCATAGGGTGCCCCAAACCCCACCAGGAGTGATCCCTGAGAGCAGAAACAAGACTATGCCTTGAGCACTGCCGGGTGTGGCCCCGAAACAAAAAAGAAACAGAAACCTAATAATGGATCTGACATAGGACCCAACTATTCCACTTTTCATACAACTATTCCAAGGGCCCAAAAACTCTACCCAGAAAAGATGCTTTGGGGCGCCTACAGCAGGTAGGACGTTTGCCTTGTACGCAGCCAACCTGGTTCAATCCCCTGCATCCCCTATAGTTCCCTGAACACAGTAGGAGTGATTTCTGAGCACAGAGCCAGAAGTAACCCCTGAGCACTGTCGGGTGTGGTCCAAAAACCAAAAAGAAAAGACGCTCTTATGTTTGCTGCAGTACTATTCACAGTAGCAAAGACCTGGAAACAGTTCAAGTAAGAGGCCAAGAACAGGTGGCAAAGAAACTGGTACAGGGGCTGGAGCGACAGCACAGCAGGTAGGGCACGTGCCTTGCACACGGCTGAGCCAGGTTCAATTCCCAGCATCCCATAGGGTCCCCCGAGCACCACCAGGAGTAATTCCTGTGTGCAGAACCAGGAGTCAGCCCTGAGCATCACCGGGTGTGATCCAAAAAGCAAAAAAAAAAGAAAACTGGTATATATACACAGTGGAACTCTACTTGGCTATTAGACAAAATAAAATCATGCAGTTTGATGCTCAGTGGCTGGATCTGGGAGCGTGTTGCTGAGCGGAGTGAGTCAGAGCATCAGGGACAGACACAGAAGGTCTATCTCCTACGCAAGATATAAAGAAACAAAGTGGAAAAAGAAACATCATAGGAGAATAACCACAGACAAACATAACAGAACCTGCGGACTTGTGTACAAGAACTGAGCTTATCATGGTGGAGGATGGGGGGAGGTTTGGGGGAGCGGGGTGCCCGGTGGAGGACACACTCTGAAGGAGGGTGTGACGCTGGAATACTGTCCTGTGGAAGCTGATCATTAACGGTGCTGTCAATCATGGTGCTGACGATTTTAAAAACTTTCTAAAGTTTAGCCTGTTTGGGGGCCCGAGCAATAGTGCTGCATGAGGGACCCAGTTGACCTGGGTTCAATCCCTGGCCCCCGTACGGCCCCCTGAGCACAACTGGGAGCAGTTCCTCAGTTAAGAGGCAGAAGTAGCCTCTGAGCATTGCCAGGTGGGATCCAAAAGCAAACCAACACATTTAGCCTATTTCAGAACACCGCGAGGAGCCAGCCCGGAGAGGAGAAGGAGACCCCCTTCTCCCCCCGCCCCCGTGCCTCCTCCCCGCCCACCGAGCCCACGGCTCCATCCTGGGTGAGCTACAGCCCCAGGGCCATGGTCCTATTTGTCCCCTCCTGGAACGTAGTCTGCGTAGAGGACGAGGCAGTCAGCAGCACACGATTGGGTGGCACAAAGCACCCAGTGTTCTCTCCTCACCACCCCTGGGGTAGGGCGGGGGCATGAGGTCTCCGGGCTCCCGGTGCCAAGGGTTGAGTCTCCCCAGAGAACCCCTCTCTCGACAATAACCATTCTGTCTGGCGCTGGCGGCCACGCTGTTCCGAAGGCACGTCTGTCGAGGAGGCACTGGGGCTCATCTGGGCTTGTGGAGTGCTACAAAGCCCCCGGACGGAAATCAGCTCACTCTGAGGTACCGGGGGCACCCCAGAGTAGGGACACTGACACCGTTCACCACACTGCTGCTGGACTTGACCGCTCCAGGCCGTTCCTCGCACTAGCCTGCCCACTTTGCAACGAGCCCACTGACTTGATGACAAGCTGTGGTCCCTGGGAAGCCAAACCACCAAACACACTGACTGGCCCCTCCAAGCAGGGAGGCATCCAACATGGCCGGGAGGGACCCTTCCAAGCTCCCCCCATGGAGGGCAGAGTGTCACCAATTCAGAGTTGTGGGCACGAAGGGTGAGAGTCTCAGTCACAAGGCAGAGTCCAAGGGTAGCGCCGGCCCTCGCTTTTGAGGCCCTGGGCAGAGGGGAGGTCTTGAGAGAAGCCCCACCTGCGTTATTCAGACCAGGGAACCCTAACAACCAAGGCGGTGCAAACAAAACAGACCAAGTGCTGTCCTCCTCTGCATCCCCACACCTCCCGGTCCTGTGGCCTCAAAGCCCAACCAGGGGCTCCCCAGAGGAAAAGTCTGCGTCTGTGGAAAACACAGAATAAAATCTACCTGGAACAGAGGCAGAAGGAGAGCGCCCGGGGTCAATGCCATCTGGACACACAGCAAAGGTGGCAGTGGCCCATAAAGGCAGTTCCTGGAATAAGACCCTCCAGGCCAGCTGCTGTCGGCACCCTGGGCCATGGACAGGGACCAGGTAGTGGCCACAGGCAGGGGGAGAAAGCCGTCCCTGAGAATCAGCCCTGCCTGACCCGGGCAGGCTGCCGAAGAAACACAAAGCCAGAAAAGTTTCCCTGGGCACCGCCAATCCCCAGTTTCTGCATATGGTACAGCCTCTGAAGTGATGTGCCCAACCCACAGGCAGTGTGGCAGGAGGGGTGACGAGACCATCACGGCTCCCATAATGCCATTTCTCCCCGCAGGCCCTCTCACGCACAGCCCGGCTATCTGGGGGCAGCCGGGAGGCCCCCCTGATTTCATCGTGGACTGAATGTTTGTACCCCCAAATCCCTACATCGAGATCCTACCTCCCCTGTGTGATGGGATGAGGGGGAGCCGAGGGGCGCATGATGGGGTGACACCCCAGAATGCAAGTTCACGCTCTACCAGCCAAGAGAGCCCTCACGCCATGACCTTGGCCGTCCGGCCTGGAGCACGGGGAGAAACGAGTGTCTTTGGTGCTGACCCCACCCCGCGCGTCTGCCCCATCTCTGTTGAGGACCCTGCTACAGGCTCTCAGGTTGTACCCGGTGGCCAGCGCGTCGCCTTCCCCTTGCTTTCCCGCGTTTGGGTCCAGCTGGGCCGAGCGCACAGTGCTACCCTGTCAGGAGTGAGCTGCGCTAGGCTCCAGGCGGCCCTGTGGGAAGAAAGAGCTCAGGGAACGGGCAGAGTGGTCTCTGCATGCTATGGGGAAGGAGGGTCCGGGCCAGGCCCCGCCTGGGGAGTCAAAGAACCTATTTCTGGACACTGCCTGCACACCCTGCCCGAAAGCACCCTAAACAGGGCCCACAGCCCCGCTTCCTGCCTCTCATGTGCCCTCACGTGAGGCAATGCCTCTGCCAGGAAGCCCCGCAGGCCCATCTTAGCTGCAAGGCGGGGCCGTGCCAGGGAAGGCTGCTGCCTACAGATGCAAGTGCCACCCAGGGCCGCCGCAGATGTCACTGCCATCCTCTTCCCCCCAGCCACATCCTATTCTGGGATGCGTAAGGGGGGGGGCACTCAGGGCTGTCCCCCATCTGCCAAGCACCCGCTGATCTATTGCTTGTGGGGTGTTTCCTGTTCCCCACACCCTCCGTGCAGCCAAGCTGCTCTTCCCAGCCACCAGCAAACAGGCCACGCCTGCCCGACAGCTATTTCTGGAAGCCCCCACAATGAAAGTCTTCACGCTCTATTTTCCAATACATCCTACAGCAGGGAAAGGAAGCAGAGGAGAGATTCTCGCGAGAGGATCGACGAGTGAGAGTTTCTCCAGCTCACTGCTCAGTCCCAGTGCTCTGGGGCCGACGCACAAAGGCGGCGCTCTGAAGGTGTAATGTAAGAGGCTGCAAATACTAATGCGATTCACGGGGTGATGGAACTCTAGAGGCATTTGTGGAGACACCGGGGTGGGGTGTCACTTCCTGAGAGGTAGGTTTTTTTCCAGCGTGGGCTGGGAGAGAAGGAAGGGTATGGACTCAGGGATCTCAATTCCTCTAGCCAACACGAACCCACAGAAACCTGAGATCAATAATTGAGTGCCTGCAACAACACACAAGGGTGTCTGCTGGGGAGAACTGTACCAAAGGAAGCCCCAGTTTCCTAAGGGAGTTTCAGAACTGCAGAGCATTTCCGCGGGGGGGGGGGGGGGGGGGGGGAGTCACAAGCCCCTCGGCGGTTTCTGACCCAAAATACAGAATGTCACCCCAAATCCACGCGTCAAGAACGCACCCCAGTCCCAGGCCGTCCTGCCAGAACTCGAATCCCCTTGACCTGCCGGTGACGGCTGCTGAGTCATCACGTCCCTTCTGCATTTCAACGCCTAATTACTCAGCAGGGGAAGGAAACGCAGCCTGGGAATTCTCGCAGGAGGGTTTTGCTCTCCGCCCCCCCCCCCCCCCCCCCCCGCCTCTTCGAAAGCCTATTTTGTTATCGGGAGATGCGGCTACACCCCGCGCTCTCTTTGGGTGCTCCTCTGTGTTCCCGTGGCTCTGGCGAGCCCCGATTCTGTGTGAATCTACTGGGAGCACCTGAAGGAGAAAGCCCTTTCAGACCCCGCGCCTTTCAATGCCGGACCCTGGCAAAAAAAAGAAAGAAAGAAAGAAAAAAAAACGCTCATCAGCGCGTCCGAAATTCCAATGCCCCGCACGCCTGGGCTTGAAGCCCGCGACAAGCCCCCGAGAGGGGGAACCGGGGACTGTGTCAGCTTGGCGGAGCACGGAGACCGTGGGCAGAAGGGATGACGGCTAACGGGGGCTAGCGCCCTCTCGGCTAGCCACGCAAGCAGGGTGTTCACCCCCGATTTGGAAGGGTTGCACCCAGGGCCGCATCCGCACCGCTCAGCCCCGTTCCGGCCGCCAGCCCGGATTTCTTTTCCGCCCGAGCGGCGGCCGCTCTCCCCCTGCCCACTTCCCCGGAGGGGTCACGCCAAGTCCCGGGCCCCACGCGCGGCGCCACCGCAGCCAGGCAGCCCGCCAGGAGCCCCTTACCTGCCGTGCCTCATGGCGCAGGCCGGCCGCCCACCTGCCCTGCAGCCGAGCATCCTTTCTGCACGCCGGCCGGCGCGCTGACGTCACCGGGAGGCGGGCCGCGCCGCCACGTGAGTGACGTCGGACCCGGACCCACCCCGCGGACTCTGGCACCCAGTCGGCGCGGGGCCGGGTCAGGCACCGTCCGCGGACCCCGGGAGACACGCCAGACGGCGCAGGGTCGCATCCCCGCAAAGGGGCGGGCGGGAAAGCGCAGGGGGTGACTTTCGGAAGTCAGCGCTGAGCCACCTCAAGGCCGAGATCCAGGCATCTGGGCCGGAGTCCCTGAAAACGGTGCGGGCACATCTGTGACCCCGAGGTCGAGGGGTGCCAACGCTAGGTCACGTGCTCTGGCGCTTTCGCGTGCCGTGTGTTCATTACTGGGCGCGCTCCTGGGGGCGCCGACGAAGAACGCTTTTAGGTCCATTTGCAGTAGGGGATGGTCCGTTCCAAAGAGAAAAAGGACTAACCAGAGCCACGTGCACCCCTTAGCGCTCCGTTTAACTGAGGCTCAGTTGCCCTTCCGAGGCGGGGGCTTCCGGCGCGGGGCCCGAACTTTCTTAGCTCTTCGGGGCCAAGGAATTTACCTGTCTCGGTCAAGAAACGGTTACTTTGCAGTAACTCGTTATTTCCGTGTGCTGATTTTTCTCACGTCCTGCAGAAGTGACTCATCTTACTATTACGGACTCTGTGTACAATGTCAACATCTCTCACTCACGGCTGCGGGAGCCCGGAGGACAGAGCCCTCGGAGCGGCCCCGCGGAGCCCTGTGGACGGTGCACATCGCTTATTCGCAGGCTGCACGTCCACGCTCCAGCACAGAACGGGTTCCCAAACGGGAGAGAACAAAAGCAGGCACTGCCCGCTTGCCTTTGCATTCGGGTTTCGACAACTTCCTTTGCTTTCCTTTGCGTTTCAATGTCAACTTTCCCTGCCCCTCGCCCGGGGCTGCTTTAAAGAGGTGGGAACCGGGCTGTCACCGGGCTGTCCCTCTCCTGTGCCCTTCCGCCCCGCGGCTTTCACGACCTCCCTGCCACCTGGGCTCCGAACCCCCATTCCCTGCACACCAACCAATTTCGGCTGGAAGGCCGGTCTCCCCTTGGGGGGACCAACAGAAGCCCGTCTGTCCCGGCGAGCTGTTTTCAACACCGGACGTGAAAGAAGCCACAAAGTGGCCGTGTGGTTTTCTAGGTCACTCTTCTCCTTTGTTTTCTCATAGGCGACTTACCTTTCGCTTCCATAGTCTGGAGATATTGAGTTAAAATGCTACCGAAATCCCCAGCGCCCGTGGGTGGAGGGTGGAGGGGCACATTAACAGGAGCCGAGAAGCTGGACTTGCAGCCCCCGGGAAATGTCGCTTCAGCGGCTGGAACCCTCTCCCTCCCCCGAACCCCTCCCCTGCCCTGCCCTCCCCCCACCCCCACACCCCGCGCAGCTCTGCGGGAGTCACGTGCTCGGCCACCCTCGGCTCCGGGCTGGCTCTGCCCCTGACGCTCGTTCGGGCATTGCTGCCCACAGAGGACGCAGCGTCCTGCGCACGCACCGGGCCCAGCAGTGGGGACGCGACTGGGCACGGGTGGGGGGGGAGGGGGGAGACGGTAGATTTGTTTCATCTTTTCTTTTCCCGGGGATTGCTCCAATGTTGTTTACATGACATTACACAAATCTTTCCTGCCCGTTTTTTGTTTTGGTTTTTTTTTTTTTCAGCAGGAGCTGACAAACAGATAGCACCAACCACCTCCTCCACCCCCTGATCGGATGCTTTTTTTGGCCAAGAAATAGACCACCCGGGGCACTGGGAACGGAGTGGTGGTGGGCGGGTCAGTAATTCCACCCACAGCCTTGCAATTTTGCAAAGGTTAAGGAAGAACTTCAGGGCCTGTCCTTCGCGTGCAGTGACTTCCAGTCCAGAACTTTTCCCCAGGGAACCAAGTTGTCCCCTGGGCTTTGCTGCGGGATTGTTTACTGCTTCCACATCAAGGTAAGTCTTCAAAGTCAGACGCAAGGTGTGTGGAAGATATGTTCAGAGATAGACCATGGTTAAACGAAGGTGGGAGAAGATGCTTTGGGCCCCAAAACACCAGCGGTTACACCAGTGCCCCAAATGGGTTCATTTAGAAACAGCCAAGACTGGACCTGGATGTCCAGGGCAGCTGGACTTCACCCACCCCGGCCTGCCAGAAGGACCAGGGATCCCCTCCCAGGACGAATTCAAAGTGTGTTGTGTCCACAGTTTGCTGATTCACTTGCATGGGTACTTAAAAAAATTATTTTTCCTTTTAGGCCACAATCGGCAGTGCTCAGGGCTGACTCATGGCTCTGTGCTCAGGGATCACTCCTGGCAGTGCTCAGGGGACCAGATGGTGTGTCACAGAAGGGACAAGGCTAACGCTCTCCCTGCTGCGCTATCACTCCAGCTCCTTGTTTCTTTTCCGTTCCCTGTGTGCAGATAGGAAGGAAGCCCTCCACAGCCTTTCTGAAAACACTGCATGACTCGGGAACTCTATTTGCTAGACTGACTTTTTCTACTCGCCTCACAGTCTTCCATGAATCTCTTAGAACAGTTTGCATTTTCCAGGGCCCAGGAGATAGTACAGCAGGTAAGGTACTTGCCCTACACGTGGGGGACCTGGGTTTGATCCTGGGCACCACAAATGGTCCCCTAACGCCTACCAGGAGTGATCGCTGAGTGCAGAGCCAAGAATAAGCCAGAGCACTACCGGCTGTGATCCCCCAAAAATTGTTTACGCTTTCCCTATTGATTATTTGCTACTGCTGGGACATTTGGCCATGTCCAGAAGCATTTTCGGTTGCCACCGCCTGAGGCTGGGACTAGGAGGGAGGCCCCAAATGCTGCTGAGTCACCAGGGGCACCCAGAGCAGTTCCCAACCGAGAATGGCCAGGCAAGGTGGAGAGCCCCTAGTCTAGAATTCCTGTGGGGTCTCATGGACACTCATTCGCAAATCCCCTTCCCTTCGCAATGACCAAGGTCACACATACGCTTGGTCGTGGTCCTCGCTTGGATGGCGGTACCCTCACATTCTGGATGCAGTGCTCGCCGAGGTTCACACTCCTAGCCACAGTGCTCACCCTATTGCAGAACTGGGCGCGAGGGACAGAGAGCAGAGTAGCCAGGACCCCGCTAAACACGTACAGGTAGCACTGAGGATCGAACTCTCAGCCTCATCCTTGCAAAGCAGGCACTTTGGTCACAGAGCTAACCTTCTCAGTCACTTTGGAGTGGCTTGGAGGCCCAAAGGCCACTTCTGGTCATGATCCCATGAGGCGAGGGCCTGATGGTTTGGTGCTTGGGCCCAGCAACCCAGAGCCATACGGTGCTGAGAGTGGAACATGGGGAACTAGACACACGGCCTGTGCCCCACTTTTTGGGGCCCTTCCCAGTCATGTTATTTGGCCCCAAGTAGGGCTCAGGGAGGGCCAGGGACCGTGCCAAGTGGCGCCCAGCCCAGGCTCAGGGCTGCAGAGAGAGCACAGGGGCTAAAGCACTGGCCTTACATGCAGCTGACCATGGTTCCATCCAAGGCAGCACAAAGGGACTCTTGAGCAGAGCCAGGAGTAGACCTGAGCACGCCCCTGCGTGTGGCCCCATAAGCAAACAAAAAAAAAGAATGCTTTGCTGAAAGCAGACTATAGACTGAACATGATTGCCACGCAAGGCCTCGTTTGCAAACCACAGCACCCAAAAGGAGAGAGAGAACAAAAGGGAGTGCCCTGCCACAGAAGCAGGGTGGGATAGGGGGATGGGGGGTGGGAGGGATACTGGGATTGGTGGGGGTGGAGAATGGGCACTGGTGGAGGGATGGGTACTCGATCATAGTATAACTGAAACCCAAGCACAAAAATTTGTAAGTCTACAACTGTACCTCATGGTGTTTCACTAATAAAAATTAGAAAAAAAAAAAAAGAATGCTTAGCCCCCTTGCTGGGGTTGCCAAGCACATCCAGAGATGCTTGGAGGTTCACACCATGCCAGGGGTCAGCTCGAGGCCATGGGCTGCCAGGCATGAGCCCCAGCCTTTGAGCTAGCCCACCAGCCCCTCCGTCAATTTTTGGTCATGAAGATCACAGCCAGTCTCACATACCCATCCCCGGCCCAGCACCAGCCATCTGCCAGAGTTTGCCGTTGCCCAGCGAGCTGGATACTCCGCTTCCTCCCTATGTGCCAGCCGTTCCGGTCCCGGCATGGGAGCTTCGAGAAAGGACAGCAGTGGCCAGAGCAGAGGTGGAAACTGTCCATGGCCAAACAGGCTGTGCCACTGCCATCCTAGGAAGCACGAGTGAAGATGCCGGGGTGGCAGATGGCCTGGGAGAAGCGCTGCTGCCCGAGAAACATTCTGGGTGACATCCTGACAGGAAGAACTGGGGAGCTGCTGGGAGCCAGGAAACTCAGATGGTGAGAAAGCCATCGGTCTCACTCCCAGACTGGCATGTGGGCGCGGTTGCTGACCAAGGCTCAACACGGGGCTAGAAAGACGGGGCTGCACCAGACACGGGCAAAACAAAGCAGTGCTTCCTCACCCCTGGACCGAAGACTGGGAATTTTGCATCAGAACCCGGCCTTTGGGCAAAGCTGCTGCCAGTGCCCGCCCAGGTGCTGGCAACTGAAACGGTGTTTTTGCTCAAGTGGCTACTGAGGTGTCTGTCAATGTAAAGGAAGACGCCGTATAGTCCAGCTTCTCAGGGCCACACCAGCCACACATCAAGGGGTCCGGAGTTGCACACGTGGCACGTGACGACACTACTGTAGCGCAGAGCGCCAAGCCATGCCCATAGAGCACATGCCACTGCAGAACAGCACGGGGAACCATGCAAAACCTTGCACCCAGGAGGCCCTGCCCCCTAGCCAGAGACCCCAGGCAGCTGCATTTTGATGCCACCGAATAGGTGACTGTCTTTGGGCTTTTCTAAAGAGGAGTGTCTGATGGTCGCTAAGGAAGAATGGAGGACCAGAGCTATAGTACAGCGAGAAGTACACATGGCTGAGTCAGGTTCGATCTCCAGAATCCCACAGAGTCCTCTGAGCCCACCAGGAGTTATCCCTGAGCATAACCAGGTGTGCCCCCGCCCTGGAAAAAAAACCAAACAAAATAGCAAGAATGGAGATGCATGCGAGCCCATGCATGTGGGAACCCAGCAGCATGCCGTTCAAAGGCTGAATTAGGAACTCCCCCTTCAAGATCACTCTGGTCCATGGAACCTGTAAGCTTGGCAGCTGGCATCTGGTAAGGCTCCTACAGTGGATAGATGCTCCCAGACTCTCTGGCAGGGCCCAGAGTCAGCCTAAGGGAGGCAGAGATGTGACGTGAAAGTAGAGGTCAGTCCTCAAGATGAGATACTATTTTTGTTCTTTTTGGATCACACCTGGCAATACACAGGGGTTACTCCTGGCTCTGCACTCAGGAATTACTCCTGGCAGTGCTCGGGGGATCATATGGGATGCTGGGAATCGAACCTAAGTCGGCTGCATGCAAGGCAAATGCCCTCCCCGCTGTACTATAGTTCCAGCCCCAAGATGAGCTACTATTGACATCGATGGAGGTCCCTTCTAGAAGCTTTAACTAGGCAAGAAGTCACATGCAGGACCTCCAGGCCTGTGGCCGGCCTTCGCCCCTCCTGTAGCAACAGGATACTGCCACACTGCCTCGACTGGCTCACTGAGCACTACAGAGTGGGCGGGCACACAAAAACTGGGTCTTTGCAATCCACCACAGGCCATGTGCTGACAGAAGTGCTCCTGAGGGGGAACTGGGATCAACGGTGATCCCCAAGTTCACATGCAAAAGCCTGAACCTCCAGGTCTCAGGATGGGGTCTTTAAAGAGGGGGTTTGTGTATAAGTCTATAACTGTACCTCATGGTGTTTCACTAATAAAAAAATTAAAAAATAATTTAAAAAAGAGGGAGTTTGTGGATGGATGAGGTGACGAGGGCCCAGAGCTGGTGGCAGCAGAGACACAAGGCCTGTGGGGGTGAAACATGGAAGCAGCAGCCGGAAGGCAGCCGCGACCACCCACCAACTGAAGCACATCAGTCCCCCGAAGGGGAGAAACTCCAGGGCAGCCCTCGAGATTCAATATGCACAAGGTCAGTTAATTCCAGGACAGTGGTCACATCTGTCTCCTGAGAAAGCGGCCACTGGCCTGTGGAGGATGAGCAGGGTTTAGCATCAGAGGGCAGGTGGGTGCCCAACGAGAACCACCAGGGGTCCTCCATGCCAAGATTTTGACTTTTCCACTTGTGACCCCTTTCTGTCTCACATTCCTGCCACCCTGGACACCCAGCACTTGAAAACAGGCTCATGCTGGGGACACAGGGCCTGCCAAACACGACTCAGGTGACTCTGAACAGCCATGCCAGGGCCCCGGGATGATCTGTCCCTTCACAGAACTTCCTCATCCCCTGGGACTGAACCACTGAATCAAGTAGCTGAGAATCTCAGGCCATAGTCACTGGGTCCCCTGAATGCCACGTGAGAGACACATCCCCACGCAAAAAAAAATATGTCTACAAATCAAACATTTCACTGTCACTGTCCTCCTGCTGTTCATTGATTTGCTCGAGCGGGCCCAGTAACATTATGAGACTTGTTACTGTGCTTGGCATATCGAATACGTCCCAGGTAGCTTGCCAGGCTTTACCGTGCAGGCGAGATACTCTCAAGATAACCTCCAAGAGGGGTGGAGGAACTGAACTCGGGTCGGCCATGCTGGCTGCATGCAAGGCAAATGCCCTACCCGCTGTGCTATCGCTCCAGCCCATTTATTGATAATAATTCATAAAGAGAAATGCTTTTTCAAACATACTGGCAAGTCTGACTGGGTGGCAGCAGTGTGTGAATTACGGCCAGCTCTGTATTCCTCGGGAAATGCACGCATTATTGTCTGCCTAAGCATCTCGGGAAAGTGAGTTTTAAAAATCACACCTTTCACGCTGGTGTTAAGGCAGGTTAGTTTAATTTTACAGAAGACGCGGAAACAAGACAAATGACACAAGTCGAGAGGACAGAGGCAAAAGCAGAGGTGAGCCCTGATTCGAACGCACCCGGACACACACACATCCCTGGCACGGGCTCCCTCCTGCCCCCCTGCTGCCAAGCGCCCAGCCGGGGTGAGGACAGTCCATGGGCCTCCACTTTCCGAACCGGGCCCGAGCCTGGGAGCAGTCGTCTGTGCGGGTCGGAAGTCACCTCCTTTGAGTGGAGGAACAGACGTACAGGGACACAGGGACGCGGAGCTGGCACCAAAGCAGGGGCGGTGGATCCCTCTGAAGCTCGTGCATTGACACAGCAGCTCGCCCCGCGTTCCCCTGGACACAGCTGGCCAGAGAAGTCACCTTGGTCACCTTCCAAGTCCCAGGAATCTGTGTGTGGCCGGCACGTGCCCAGGGCTGCCAGTCAGAGTGAGCGAGTCAACAGCGGGGTGGGGGTGGGGGGGTTGCTGCGGGCAATTCTGGCGAGGACCAGTGGTCTGTGTCTCCCCGTCCGTCGGGGGCCATCAAAGCGTCATGGTGAGGATGGCGCCGCTGGGGAAGCCGTTTCCGTCGTACCAGCACTGACAAACTCCTTTGTCCGTGACAGGTCGTGTGTCGATGAAATGCTTTACAGATTCAGTTTTCGTTAAGTGTCAACAGGGGACTGAGGCGGGAACAGAGCAATTAAAGGGGGTAATTCCAACGCAGGGGTCATAAGAGCGTGGTGAGAGGGTCCCTTTTTCCAGTTCCTGGCCTGGGGCTTCCCAGGTGAGGAAATGCTGCCTCTCACAGACAGACATGGGGCGAAAGTTCTAGCATATGCAGAGTCAGGGCATGCCCGGGACTGGCATCCGACCCATGCTCCTCGTGCACTGCTTCTACGCTTTCTTGACCACCACTGTCAGGCCAGTGGCTTCCAGCCTTTCCAGAGACCTGAGCACCAGGCCGAAAACCACTGCGGGGGACCAAAGACTCATCTGGAAGTGGGTACCCCGAGTTACCCACGTGCTTCCTTCGAAGGTTAGCCAGTCCCTGGGGTCGCTGTGCTGTCACTGGCAGAGTCACGCACTCATTGTGTCCTCTTTCTCTGGCCTTCATGACAGGGGACGGGACACCTTCTCGATCACCACGCCCTGAAGGCGGTGTCACCCACAATCTGGCAGTGTGGGCCCCACTGTGGTCAGGGCCATGAGGGGCTGCTTTGGGGGTGACAGCCGAGAGGCAGGAGGCTAGTGGGGTGCAGGCCAACTTGGGGCCTGGCCACTGAAGTGCGGCAGCAGGCACCTCGGTGAAGATGAAGCATGTGCTAGAGGACAACATATATGACACATGCATGTGGGGGAAGCTACGGGCATGGCCCACGGCGCACAGTGCCTGCATTCCCGGTGTCCGGAACCAAACACCGGCCTCCAAGTCCCATTCCACAGCGTGACAGATACTGAAGGACAAAAGTCAGTCTGAAGACACATCATAAAATCGGTATTTTCCTTCAAGGAAAAAAAGGACTATAAATAAATTACAATACAGTGAATTTGCCTGAACTCACTTCGTTTTCTCTCTTCCAGCCTTTAAGTCAAATAAAACAGCATAAAAACTGTACATTCTGAACACAATAGCTGATCTCTTATAAAATAACCTGTCCTCAGAGATGTTCATTTGACAACAAGGAAAAACCAAGCCCTGTTGCCGTCACTAGTACAAAATATATAGGTATAGATATATGTGTTTTATTTTGTTTTTACAAAATGTGTATATCAATAGCTTTGCGCAAATATTCTTAAGACAAAGTTTAGCTAGTCTAAGAAATTCATGGATAAAACAGGCAGATAAATATGTCATGTGTACAAAGCACCACATCAAACATCGTCGGCAGGCAGAGGAGGCACGTTAATCCTTGGTCTTGTGAAAAATGCGATCTTCTCCCTGGAAGTGGAAATAATTGCAGGTTAGAAGCTGGCAGGAGGCGGCAATGGTGATGACAGCTTCCGGGCTGGCCGTCACACTGAACCGGAATTCCCAGTTCACTTGTAGCTCCTCTGAGTTGAAGCAAATGCTCTGAAGTGTCCAAAGTTGAGGGAGGGGTCATCTAACCCAGTGCCTAGGGCAGGGTGTGCTGCAGGCACTCGGTGTTTGCATTAGAACTAAGTGACTGAAAAGCTACGCAAATAATATACTTCTCTAAGTTCTTTTGTAACAAAAACAAGCAACTTTAAAAAACCTACGTAGACAAGAATGAAGCCTGAAACTCAAGTGCTTATTTATTTTTTATTCTTTTAGCTTTTTGGGTCACACCCGGTGATGTTTGGGGGTTCCTCCTGGCTCTGCACTCGGGAATTACTCCTGGCAGTGCTTGGGGGACCCTATGGGATGCTGGGGATTGAACCCAGATCAGCTGCATGCAAGGCAAAAACCTTCCCTGCTAGACTATCACTCCAGCCCCATGTGCTTATTATTCAGTCAGAAAAAGGAACAAAGGTCCGACAGATGCTGCAACATGGATTAACCGCAAAACTATGAAGCCAGGGGCCGTGGACATGGCTCAAAGCCCTGGGCTGAACCTCCAGCGCCACCTGGTCTACAATATGGCGAGTGGAGCCCTGGCGTCTGACACCATCAGGAGTATCCGCAGGGCTCCAACACCTCACAGAGCCCCTCGAAAACCCAGGGAGAAACATGAGCCATGGGAAACACAAAGTGTCACATTGGAAGATGCTGCTGCTAAGAAATTTCAAGAACTTATTATCTAGTTTCGACATCTTATTATCTAGTTCTTACTCTGGAGAACCTGGCAGGCTATCGAATGTAACCTGCCCACTGGCAAACTTCCCAATATGCCAAATACCAGTAACAATGATGGGTCTCATTCTCCTGACCCTGAAAGAGTCTCGAATGTGCCACTTTCTAAAATCTCAGGGCTAGGAAGAGGAAGACGTTGCCAGTGCCTGCTTGAGGAAATCGATGAACAACAGGATGACAGTGATACAGTGACAGTGGCAAACTCACGGAGAGAGAATACAGACGGGTGGTAGTCCAGGTCTGGGGAAAGGGCAGTGAGTGTGTCGTGGGTACAGGGCTTTCTTTTGGTGTGAGAAAATGTTCTGGAACTCGAGTGGCAGGATTACTCAATACTGAGAATGCACCAAATGCCATGGAATCTTTCTTTGTTCTGTTTAGAGGGGGGTCACATCCGGCCATGCAAATTCACAGGGTTTGCTCCTGGCTCTGTGCTCAGGAGGACCACATGGGATGCTGAGGCTGGAACACGGGTTCACCTCATGCAAAGCAAGCGCCCTCCCTGCCGTATTATCACTGCCACCCCAGAATCACTCTCCCTCCAGCGGTTCATTTGATGCTGATTATAGCTGCGATTTCTCTCATATCCAAATAATAATGGAAAATGAGTCTGCGCAGGTGGAATTCAAGACAGGGGTGGTCGTGGGGCAGGATGTGGGGGCGCTAATAAGCTCTGCCTCTCAGCTGGCTCAAGCCTGACCATTCACTGAATGACACGCGCTTGCAGCCCTTCCCGCATGTATCCTCTGCTTCCATGAATACACATATGTGAACCCATGCTGCTGACATGAGGGGACACTGGAAAGCCAGGCTGTGAAGTCGGGGAAGGACGGGACTGTAGCTCAGAGGAACAGCACCCGGCCCTGCAGAGAAGATGGCAAGGCAGATGAGATGACAGCCGAGACAGCAGATGAGGTGAGGATCCTGGTTTCACGGTGAAAGCCGGGCCCATGGCACTGGGGTGATGCAGTGAGAGCCTGCCAGGGAGCTGCGGACCCTGCACCTCGGCCCCCGCCGTTCCCCTACCTGAAGGTCTGCACCCGGATGGGCTCGTCATGGCTCTGCGTGCGCAGCGGGCACACGCCCCTGGACGCCTTCTTCAGCATCTTCTCGGCCGCCTGCTCCTCGTGAAAGTCCAGTTGGCTCTGTCTTGTCTGGAATGGCAAGGGCGGCCCCATGGGTCACTCGAGTCAGCACGTGAAGAATCCCGGGAACCCCAGGCCCGCCCCGGCCCAGAAAGACCCAGGGTCCTGCCTCACCTGGCGCTCAGCCTCCCTGAGCAGGGACAGGAAGCGCTCGTCCCGCAGCACCCAGGGTGGCAGGTCGCCCTCCTCCAGGCGCCGGCGCAGCTCCCGTAGCACGCCCAGTTCCTCGCTCAGCTGCCGCTGCCGGGTGCGCGACGCCTGCAGGTCCAGCTCCAGGTCCAGCGACGTGCGCGCCATCAGCTTGGCCAGGGAGGACCTGCATGACTGTAGGTGGCGAGGGTGGGGGTGCGGGGTGCTCAGTCCAGGACCAGCCCCCAGAAGGCCCCCACCTTCTGGAAGGTTCTGCGCACTGAGCCAACACAGGCGCAGCAGCCGTTCTGGGAGAGGCATTTCTCTCGGCCCGACCCTTGCGAAGCCAGAATCCTCCAGTTTGGTGCCAAAGCAGTGGCAGCAGATTGTGTGGACGATGGCCTGTGTGTCATGTCTTCGCAAAACTGAAGACAGGAGCGCCGCTAGGGGTGCGGGGAAGCCAAATGGGCGCTACCTTTCTGAAACCACTGAGGGCTTTAGTTTTGTTTTGGTTTTGTTTTGCCATTTTGATTGGATTTTTTTTAATTTTTAAAATTTTTTATTAGTGAGACACCATGAGGTCCAGTTGTAGACTTACAAATTTTTGTGCTTGGGTTTCAGTTATACAATGATCAAATACCCATCCCTCCACCAGTGCCCATCCTCCACCACCACGGGTCCCAGCATCCCTCCCACCCCCCATCCCCCTCATCCCACCCTGCCTCTGTGGCAGGGCATTCCCTTTTGTTCTCTCTCTCTCCTTTTGGGTCCTGTGGTTTGCAGGAGAGGCATTGAGTGACAATCATGTTCGGTCTATAGTCTACTTTCAGCATGCTTCTCCCACCCTGGGAGGATCCTCACAACACCCTTTATTTGGTGCTCCCTTCTCTATCTGAGCTCCCTTTTCCCCTAGCATGTGTGGCTGGCCTCCGAGCCATCCAAATGGCTAAAAGGCACATGAGAAAATGCTCCACATCATTAATCATCAGGGAGATGCAGATCAAAACCACAATGAGATATCATTTCACACCACAGAGACTGGCCCACATCCACAAGAACAAAAGCAACCGGTGCTGGCGCGGATGTGGTGAGAAAGGGACCCTCCTTCACTGCTGGTGGGAATGCTGACTGGTTTAGCCCTTTTGGAAAACAGTATGAAATTTAGTTTGTTTTTTTGCTCGGTTTTTGCACCACGCCAAGAGGTGCCCAGAGCTTCCTGCAGGCTCAGCACTCGGGAATGACTCCTACAGGACTCAGGACCCCACACGGTGCTGGGGATCAAACCTGCGTCGGCCACATGCAGGCAAGCATCCTACCCACTGTACTATAGCGTTTATAAAAGGGGGGAAAATCCCTAAGTACAGCAGAAGAAGAAACTGATTCAATAAATTACAAGGCCAGGGGCTTAAGCAGTAGCACAGCGGGTAGGGCGTTTGCCCTGCACACGGCCAACGTGGGTTCGATTCCCAGCATCCCATGTGGTCCCCTAAGCACCGCCAGGAGTAATTCCTGAGTGCAGAGCCAGGAGTAACCTCTGAGCATCGTTGGATGTGACCCAAAAAGCAAATAATAATAATAAAATGAATTACAAGGTCACCATCCAAGGCAACTTCGTAAAAGGTAAAAATTGCACATGTGGAAAAATCTCAGAGACCGACTGCAGAAACGAAACACTTGCCAGGATCATTTTAGCTGCAAAGTTCCCCCACACCAGCAGCAATGGGAAACAAAACCCACAAAAACCCATTTCCTTCGATGAGTATCAGGCAAACCACACGGTGAGCAGCCACTGTACGTCACTGTCCTACCTGTTTATAGCGAAGGGTTCGTCTTTCTAGAGTATTTCGGACAAAGGGCAGCTTCCGGGGCAGCGTTGAACTGTCACTGTCACTACGATAAAGCTGCGTGGGAAAGGAGAAATGCTGAGCCAGGTGGCTCCGAATCAGCTCCCACAGGCCCAGAGTGTCCGAGCTCTGGCCAGGAGACTCCGAGGCTGCCACCAGCTGGGCAAGTAAACGACAACCCGAAACAACCCCCTTCCCAACAGGTCGGAGATTCCAGGCTCATGCAGCCGGCTCAGCTCGGCCCCAGTACCAACAGTGACGGGGCCTTCTGTCACGCGCTGTCCTCAGCCCTGGGCAGGAGCTGGAGAAATGGTCTTCCAACTATGAGACCTGCCCCCGGCCACAGGACAGGCCGCCAAGCCAGGCCGCCCTCTGCCGGGAGGCCACCCCTATGAGCTCTTGGGAGCAGGCTGGGCTTCGGGGTCAGTGTGTCCACATGACAGCCAGAGGCCTCACTGTCCACGCCAAGACAGGAAATGCTGGTGCCCACGAACTGCAAACCACGAACACGGGGAGCAACAAAGGGCATCTGCACGCTGGGCACGGGGCCCCGCCGGCTGGGCGCCCCTTTCCCAACAGGCCGACTCTTTCATCCATTGCCTGCTCTCCCATGATGGTCGGGATGAGAGCACACGTGGTGGGGGGAGCACCGCAGATGCCCGAGTTACCTCAGAAGCCGCTGGGGCCCGAGCACTGCCTGCAGGGGCCTGGCTTGTGGCTGTGCCCTGAGCTGGAAGGCGCTTTCTGCAGGGATCCCTGCAGGACAGGGTCCTCTAGACCCCTGTGCCCACTCTCATCCAGGTCCCTCTGGGGCCGGGGGACACCCAGGGGACTGAGCGCGTGCTTTGCATGCAGGAGGCCCGGGTTCGACCCCTACACGCCCCAGATGCGGTCTCAAAACCCAAATAACATAATAAGATGAAATGAGCTCTGGGGCCGGGAAAGGTGGCATGAGGAGCCCAAGCAGCTCCGGGTGGGACCCCGAAACCGAAACATAACCAGATGTCCTTCTCCTCTAGCTGCTGCCATCTGTCGCATTGTTACTGCATGCAGAATCTTGGCCTGTTCCAAGGATCTCTCAACCTCCTTTTGCCCGACAGCTCCCAGGAGCCAGCACCCGCCCCCATCCTCGGGTGCGTTTCCAAATGGTGGCGTGAGCCCACGGCGTCCAGGCTGCTGTGAGCCCGAGACAGTTCCCAAGTGACCCCCTGCCCCGTGCCCACCCTGTGGGGACTCTGAACTCCTTAATCTGACTCTTTCGCCCAGCCATGAGCTGCTGTGAGACAAACAGCAGGTCGGGGAGAAGCCTGAGAAAACCCACAGTGAGGACAGGGCGTGGGGACTGCGGTCCCTTTCGCCTCACTGGGTGCCGCTGCGGATCTTAGGAGTCGTCGGAACAATGTCATCACAAGGGAAAGACAATACAATTAAGGAGGGAAATCCACCGTTGCAGCAGGTGGGGAAAGAGCATCAACTTACTCTGCAGACATACTGGCTCCGGGCGCCCGGCGAGAAGGTCTGCGAGCGCACGATCGTGCCGCTGCGGACAAACGGTGAGCCGCGCCCCCTGCGGCCCGGCCGCTCCTTGGGCAACCCCGCTGCGTCTTCTGGGAAGAGGTCTTCCGTGTTGGTCTCCTTGTCGACCTGGAGGGCACAGCACCGTGTCACCCTGCTTCTTGCCCACACCGCACACACGGTGGCCTGGCACCCAGGCTTGAAAACCAAGCCCCGTTCGACCCCAGGCAGCAGGATGCCCCGATCAGGAGTGATCCCTGAGCACAGAGCAGGAGGAAGTTCTGAGCACCGCTGGATGTAGCCCGGGGTGGGGGAGGGGAAGGGAAAGAGCAAGCCACTCTTCTAGAACGTGAGAGCTAAACCAGCATAGAGATGCCTCACTGTGAGTGCGAAGTCTCTCGGCACGCTGCACCCGACTGGTCCTGCCGACCATTTCCCCCGCGGGCCCAGCGACGCTAAAGCCATGGGGAGGGGGTGCTTACTGCCTGCCTGATCCCACCCCCGCCTTCTTGTCTTGGCTGCTGATGCCAGTGCTCCCTCGGCCACAGCAAGTGGGGGCGAGCAGTCCTGAGCTAACAAGTGGGGAGCCCAGATGGGAGCGTGTGGGTAGCTGATGTGTCATTCCACCAACCTGCCCGCAGTATTTCCAAATTAAAACCCCAGGGGGAGTAGATAAGCGGAATCCTGCCGCATCCCAGGCCACTGTGCTCAAAGGACTTACAAAGTGGGGGACCAGCCAGGGGAGGGGGCGGTGGCGGGCTCGTTGGTCCCGTGGGAACCCAACGGCTCGGAAACACAGCTGATACAGCTCTGAGCCAGCGGGCTGTGTGGGCATCTGTGCCCGTACATGGGGAAGGGAAGGACGCGAGCCATGCTCACAGCAGGTGGACACAGCCCTGCCCCAACCACACAACACATGCTCGGGCCCGGGGCCCCACCAGAGGGCATAGGATGGCGAGCAAGGTGCCCGGCCACCACCTCCCGTCACCCTGCAGTGCCTGCTGGGCCCGTTCACAGCGCCCAAGCCCTTGGCCAGTCGCTTTTCTCGGTGCAGCGTAACCGCCCAATGCTCTGTCCCTGTGCTGTTCCTGCCCCCGTGGTCTATGTACCTTAAGAGGCAGAGGCTGAAGCTTCTTGGGGCTGTAAAGGTTTGCCTGGGCGGCGTCGACGCCCACGCAGCAGGGCTCCGGGTGCGGGGGGCTGGTCTGGGCACAGCTGCTGCAGCCACTGTCTACCGAGTCCGCCTGCCAGCTCCTGAAAGACCTGGACACCCATCAGAGGGGCGCCCCTGAGCCCCCCAGGACTGACAGGAGGGGCTTTCATCCAGGCTGGACGCTCGCCAGGCCGGGGCACGCAGCCAAGACTGGGCTCGGCACTGTCACGCTCATGTCCCTGTGACACCCTAGGAAGCTCCCGCAGAAAGACCCACACACTGCTCCGGGCAGGACACACGGGGACAGTGCCTGCTCAGGTAAAGGACCAAACAGACGATGCCCAGATGGGCCTGGGCAAAGCCAGGAGAGGGGCTGAGGGGCGTTTCTCTAGCACGCTTCCTGAAAGCTACTGCGGGAAGCGGGCACTGTATGTGTGGAAAGCTGGGAGGGTCCTTCCGGGATGCCAGGGACGGAGGGGCCTCACCTCTCGGACACGGCCTCGGCCTGCTCCTCTGTGCACTCAAGCTTCACACGCTCCTCGGCCAGCTCCCTCTCCACCGCCTGCAGCTGGGCCGTGGTTCTGGCGAGCAGCACAGTCACCGCATCCTGCCGACACAGGGCATGGCCTGAGCCCCAGATGCCGGGGCCCAGGGGCAGTCTTGACGGCTCTTTAGGGGACGTGACGGGAAAGTGCTGACACGGACGCAGCCTGTGGCCCCACACTGAACCGTGAACTGTGCCGACTGGCCACGACTGACACCCCACGCCCCCTTCTGGTCCCCTTGATCCACAGAACATCCGCAGAGCCTTTGTAGAAATGGCATCCGGCAGTGCCCACGGTCACCTACCGTCTTCTCGGCGGCAGCGCTGGCGGCTGGGGCCGCGGGCTCCGCGGTGCGCTCGGGGCCGCTGAACACCTGCACAGGGCACCAGCGCAGCTGCATGTCACTGCAGGTGTCGTAGTCCGCCAGGCTGATCTGCGCAATGCCCTGCATGGGTTCCAGATGGAAAGCGCTCAGCCACAGCCCCCACGCCCGTGGAGCCGGCAAGGAAGCAGGGGTCTCCCACACTCCCAAAGGGCCGAGAAGGGCTGGCCGGAAGTGTGCACTGGGGTTCTGAGCTGCCATTTGGGGAGCCATAATTCTACCAGGAAGGGCTAGAATAAAAGGGTGGGAGCAAGAACCCCGGAAGTAGAAAGCACCCTGACTTCCAAGGCTGGCCTGGCGGGGAACTAAGGCCAAGCTGCCCAGCTGCGCAGTCCGAGGGTGCATCTGGGTACCCGAACGCTGACCCCCGAGTCTAATGCGGGCCCTCTGCAACTCTTTCCCCGCACACCCCCGGCTGCCACTGTTGCAAACACCTCGGCTCCATTATGCAGCTGAGTTGGGTTTCACTTTCGGTTGACACACGTGCAGAAACCTTTGGCAACGTTTAAGAAGGTACCACACCATACGGTTTCAGGGTTTCACGTGCCAGTCAGCCCTATTGTTCCTGCGACTGCAAACGGGAAGGGGGAGGGGGAGAAACTGCAGGGAAGCCCCTGCAAGCACCAGAATGGGCCAGGATGGGAAGGACACCCGGACAGGGAGGACACGGCGAATGCTGGCTCTGGGGTACCCACCAGTAGCTCCTCCTGCAGCTGAGGGCTCAGTGAGCACACGTACAGCTGCAGCGACCTCAGGGCCCTGGCGCCTGTGGGCACGGGGATTCGGAACACCTCGTTGAACACCAGGTGCCGTTGGCACTCCAGGGCCTTGGAGCAGTAGGTGCTGGGGGCGCTGGAGTCCAGTGGCGGCAGGTAGACGCGGACATGGCTGCAGGCGACAAAGACAGGACAGGGCACATGCTGAAAGCCCAGCGCCTAAGGGCCCAGTAGCCCGAGGCCCTGAGGAGGCCGGGGAGGGGCTGAGGCCTTCTCCCCTCAAGGCAGGGCCTGAGGCCGCCTGGTACTGCAGTGAGCAGGGCCTCCTGCGGAGTTCTACTGTGGTGCTGGGGATGGAGCCCAGGCCCATTCCGTGTGCCAGCTCAGTGGTCACTGTACCTCAGGCCTCAGTCCGGCTGGACTTCAGCGAAACTGAGTCCCAGGCCAGAGACATAGGACAGGTCTGGCATGAGCTGCCCCCACACCCCACCCTCCTGCCCCGCGGCTGCCCAGGCTCACATCCTGCGCTCGGGCGCCTGCAGCCGCTCCAAATTCTTGAGCTGCAGCACGTTCACGAGGAGACACTCGGCGGCGCTGTCGTGCCTAGGAAAGGGACATGGCCACGGTCCCCACCAGGAAGCTCCCAGAGGAGGCCGGCCCCACTCCGCCCGGGACACAGGAGACAGGAAGGTGCAGGTGCAGACGGCCCCCGGGGTGCGCCCCCTCAACTCACAGAAACCCCACGTGGATCTGGGGCCCCTCAGGCGCTGTGGCTTCTGTACGTGCTGGCTCTTCGGCATCTTCACTCCTGCGCAGGAGGAGAGGCGCAGGTCACCCACAAGGGGCCCAGAGCAGGGCAGCCGCGCCATCTGCATGCTACGGGCCTCACCTCCTGGGTGGGGGTTCAAAGACCCCGCTGTCGCTGGCCAGTGAGTGCGCCGACACGCAGGCCGAGGTGCGGCGTGTCCTCCGCTCCAGTCGCCGTGCGCTGTCCCCACGGAGAGTGACTGCCACACCTGAGAGACACAGTGGGTCACCGGAGCCACTCTGGGGGCCACGGGGCCAGGGCTGGGGATGGGTCTCCCACAGGCAGAACACGAGAGCTACGGCAAAGTCACCGTCATTCCAAAGGACATCAGAGAACAGTGACCACCATGAGAATGAAGCCACATTTGGGGGGTCTCCCGCACCAACTGGGGAGAGAGGGAGCTGCCCTCAGAACCACTGTCTGGGGTTCAAAGCTCGCCCCTTACGGGCACCATCCTTTCCTCTCAGACCCCCCTTCTACCAAGAATCTTGGGTCACCTTCTTGGCTGTCCCTGCCTTCCCTTGGGCAACAAGTGCCTTCCAGCAGAGCCGCTGACCAAGGCTGCTGCCCCACGCATGCTCCGGTCCCAGCTCTCACAGCTTCTCTCTGGCCCCCAAAGCCCCAGTGTCTGCCAACAACTGCACACAAACTTGGCCCACAGCCCAGGAGGACCACTTTCGCCCTGTCACCAACAGAACAAACTGATTCTCTGGTGGTACCCGGAGGCGGCGATGCACCCACTGCCAGTGGCAGATGGAGGTGCTCCCTTTGTGAACTGGATCCCAACCACGCACCCTGGGCCTGTCCCTCCAGCCCGGACACTCGGCACAGCGCCGACACGTCCCCTGACGGTTGTTCCTTTAGGGAAGTAACACTGAGGCTAACTCTAAGCACTTCCAGTCAGTCTGATGGCGCCTCTGACTCTTCTCTCCAGCTACAAGGGAAGTAAGGTGAAGAGACAGTGCACACAGAGGGACTCAGCCTCAGTAACTCCAAACTTCATCTCTGCAGACTCAGAAATGGCCTGAAACGCACAGCTCAGCCCATCTCACGAAGCCCTGCAGCCTAGCCTTGGGCTTGAAGGTGCCAAGTACCCGGGGGCATTGCCAGTGAAGTCAGCAAACCCCATTCTCCCAACGTCAGAGTCTTCAAGACAGACACACAGACACGCAGACAGAACTGAGACCCAAACACATTGACGCTGACTGATCAAAAGAAAATACAACAGCAATGGCCCTACGGGCAAAGCTGCCAGCGGGTGTGTTCCAACAATGACAGCCATCACACTCTGGAAACCTCGCAACGCTCACAGTTGCACGAGCATCATTCAAACCTGACAATGACACCTGGCCACCCCCGAACACACCCTTTCTGGGCACGGAAGGCCAGCAAGGAGGGGGAATCCCAGGACACTTACAGTGATGACCGTTTCTGCGGAGCCGCATGAGAAAAGAGATGAAGAAAAAAAGAACAAAGTGAAAAGACCGCAGCATTCAAGGCAACGGTTTTCAGCAGCATAAACATACTGTCAACAAACAACTGGGCAAAGTTTGCTTTCGTTGATGCGTACTTTCCAAATATAGCCCAATTCTAAATAGAAAAAGCATCTCAAAAGTATGACCCATTTGCTATTTAGAATGCAGGGAACGTTTAAAATGTGAAAATAGTAAAGGTTTTGTTCTATTTTCCCCAGCTCCTGGCCTCCCTGATCTCCATGGTTTAAAACACACTGGAAGGAATTGTGCCAAGAGCTCTGCCTTCTAAGTTCAGGCAAACACTAGATAAAATTTAGTAATTTTACCTTAGGAGGACCTCATCATGGGAAGCTGGAGAGATTGTGGGGTAAGGCACTTGCTTTGTAAGAGGCTAACCCAGTTTCAATCCCCAGCGCCCCATATAGTTCCCTTAGCACAGCCAAAAGTGATCCTTGAGCACGGAGCCAGGAGTACGCCCTGAGCAACATCAGGCGACTGTCCTTAAATCCAAAAGATTTTTTAAAAAGTTTTAAATCAAATTTTATCATGCTAAAATCTGCTTGAGATGAAGCTTAGACAAGACTTCCCCTGGCCAGATTGCAAAACCGGAGGGAACTATGTGACCTTGAGCCTTATATGACAGGCTGGGAACATGACAAGAGCTAAGATTGCTGCTAAATATCTGAGATTATGATGACTCTGGACTCAGGTAGTCTCACAAGCATCAAGAATAAAATGGTAATCACTTTATATGCCTGTGTGAAGCAAATTTTCCAGCCCAGGGCCCTGAGAACACCCACTAGTACCCATTCACTAAGAAAATTATTCCAAATTTATAAGGTAAAAAAGCAACCAAGTGTAATCTACGAATCTACCACGAGATGGCAGTGTAGAACACAAATACAGAAACTTCCCACTAGGCGGCAGTGTTGCGCAGGAATATAATGTCATATACGAATCAACCACAAGATGTCACTCTAAGACCATAGTATGAGCAAATGCCTCCCAATCTCAGAAGCTGGAATTTACTATGCCAGCTAGAGGGGAGAGGATGAAAACGTTAGGATGAGAAATTAATTCAGGTACTCTGCATCCCAACTTGTCTTTACCCTGGCCCAAAGGACACTTCAATCTTTGGCTGCTTTTCTGCCTAGTCAGATTAATACTCATATTCTCGATCTTTAAAGAAAAGTGGGCACAGATAAAAAAAAAAAGGACTGAGAAAAGTAAGCTCTGCCATGGAAGACCTGCCGTTCTTATGTGCATTTTCTTCTTTTAGGTGGAAGAAACAATGGACAAATGAATCTTTACCGGGGCCCGCGCAATAGTACAGCGGTTAGGGCGTTTGCTTTGCACGCAGCCATCCCGGGTTCGACTCCCAGCATTCCATATGGTCTCCTGAGCACTGCCAGGAGTAATTTCTGAGCACAGAAGTGACCCCTGAGCATCACCATGTGTGGTCCAAAGACCAAACCAAGCAAAAAATGAATCTTTACCCCTTGAAGAAAAAGTAAATAAGAGTTACATTATTAAGTTTTAAAAAATTCTGGGAATACTGAAATAATTGCTGAGGAACACTGCAGAGAGAACATAACAATGGAGATGCCCAAAACCCTCAGAACATAAGTGGTCTGTCACAAGTACTTGAGCTGCAACAAACGACATGACTGTAAAGTGAAGAGCAGAACACTGAAGGAATCAGGGATCCACCTTGCTCAACAGCAAAGAAGTAGACAGTCAACTGGCTCCAAGGACGCCAGTAAGGTGAGGGGTCTGCAGACCAGCAGAAAAAGTGAACCGGTACAAAACAACTGATGCTTATGGGCTCATTCAAACTCAGACACTTGCTTCATTTCCACATTGAGAGGACTGTGTCCCCGAATACTGCCCGGAAAGAGATGAAGAAATGAATGCACAAAGGAAGTCGAGATTTCCTTTGGGCTAGGAAAAGAGCTGAGTCCACAAGTTGGACTTGGTCAGCACCCACAGCGTGTTCGACGTGGACAATTCTGGGACACTCATGGAGGTCCCTGGTCCTCCTTAGCCAGTCCTCTGGGTGGTGATGGGTAATGCTTCTTTCAGATTTGGACCACACGTGGCAGCGCTGGGGACACCGCGTGGGGCTGGGGATCGAACCCTTCCTCTTACATCCAGCCCAACAAGCCCTGCCTAGAAACCAGCCAAAGCCCTGGACTGCCGTGGCAGGCACGCGCTCCGCCACAGCACAGGGGCTCGGGGGAAGCTCGTCTGCCGTCACCCCGGAATCCGAGACCTCCCGTCCCAAGCAGAGGCCAGGCCTGATGAGTACTCACTTGCTCCCATGGCGGGGGCGGTCACTTGGGCTCCCCGCTCTCGAGGCCCGTCCCCTTCCCCGGGGAAGGTGTGCGGCTGCAGGGCCACGGTGGCCTGTGGGTCTTCATCCCCAAAGGCGCACGCCTGAGCCCGCAGTCTGTCTAGGGCGCCCAGGCCTGGCACCTCGAAACCATCCACCACCTGCGCCAAGGGTGAGTCACGCGCGGCGGGGAAGAAGGCTGTGTCGCGGGGCGAGCTGGGCGGGGACAGCGAGGACAGGGAGGAGCGGGAAGACAGGGACGCCAGCGACTGAGGCGTGTCCAAGGAGCGCCTCTGCTTGTAGAGGCCAGCGGGGCCCAGGGTTTCCGAGAAGGGGCCGTCTCGGACCAGGGCATCCAAGGGGATCAGATCGAAGCTCAGCAGCTGCCCGGCCTCTGTGTCCGGCTTGTCGTACTGCGGGAGGCCGTAGATGTCGGTGAAGCTGACGGAGCTTAGAGAGCCGCGGCTGGATGCTAGGGAGCCGCGGCTGGACGCCAGGGAGCCACGGCTGCTGCCTGAGGACACTGTCAGGGTGCTGGCAGACAAGCTGCAACGAGACGGCCCACCATCTCAGAGACACAGCCGGGCGCTGCAGTGTTTGCGCCCCTCCACGTGGAACAGCCGTGTCGGCCTCCCAGTAACCGAGCACGCACCCGGGAGCAGCGAGGCGGGCACCTGCCCCCACCTTCAGAATGTGGCCAGGAGCAGGGTGAACGCGCAGTGCCCTGAGTCCGAGCTGAGCTCGGTCACCCTGCTCACCACCTCCCCGCTGACCCGGGAGCCTTCGCGGCTGTCACGGCGCCTGGCCCTTTCACCCAAAGGTGACTTGAACCTGACCCGCGCCCTCCCCAAAAGCAGAACACAAGAACGCTCGAGGGCACTCAGACAAATGTAGGCATCTGTGAAAGGCCCAAGCGAGCTGGCAGCCGAATGGGGCTGTGCGGCACACGGGAGCCAGAAGCCGGGGCGACAGCGCAAGGCGACGCTCCTGGCTCAGTCCTACCCAGGCTCGTTCCAAACGCGGGGTCCCTCTGCTCGCGGCACCCACCTTCTCAACTGGGACTGCAGGTAAGACGCCAGCCGGGTGGCCTCCTCCAGCTGCATCAGGAGGCGGCTTCTCTTCTCCCGGAGCAGAAGCCTGCGAGGAAACAGGCCATGGGGACACCTCAGAGACGGGCATCCTCCCGCCATGAAATTCCCGCCACGAACTGCTCCACGCCGCCACCGGCTAGAACGACTCAATCCTCAGCAGCATCTCTGATCCCACACAGAGGACCGCCAGGGACTCATTTCTGTCTGGCGCGAAAAAATATTCCAACTCTCTGATTAGTGCTCAGCTCCCTGGAAACGTCAGTGCAGGGGTGTGTCAATGGACAGATGGAGGGAAGAGTGGGGGGTCGGAGGGATGGATGGGAGGTGTGATGGGCAGAAGAACGGGGAGGGGTGGAGATTTGCGTGGGTAGGTAGGTAAATGCACGGAAGCATAGCTGGTAGTACAATCGCAGGCGTCCAGGAGGAGGCGCTGGTGGCTGGAAGCAGCAGGGGACAGCGGGATGAATGGATGGAGAGTGACAGGCAGACAGCAGGGTGAGTGGAGAGCGGGGTGGCAGGTAGGGACACAGAGGCATGATTTCGGACCTAGAACAAGTAGTGATATACTAGAAATCCTTGGCAGCAGTAAGATTCCCTCAGCGTGACCCCTTTCCGGGCACAAACACGAGGAGTTAAAATCCTGTCTGGGAACAAAGCCTTGAGCAAGAGAGCAAGTGTCACCTTCCTTCCACTGCGGCCTGCACTGACGAGGGCATCTTGGTTTCTCATCAAAGCCATGGCTCTGGGGCCGCAGAAGCTCCCTGCTCTGCCGGCAGGAACGCCTCACACCCGGCAGGACCCAGGACACCCGTGGCCGGTTCTAAGTCCCCATCTGACCAGAGGACACGGGTGTGCCCAGGCCCCAGCCTTCATTCGCAGGCGCCTGGCTGGGCCCGTTTCTCCTGTCCAAGCAGACTCTGGGGAGCTGCAGGAGCTGGCAAGGGGCCCTGGCCGAGGGTGGCAGGAGGCTGCTCGCCAACGCCATACTCCAGGCCACTGAGTGATGGCCTCTGTCCCCCAGGGCGGCTCTGGGGTCCCACAGAGACCCTGGGAGGTGAATGAACTTGCTTCTGTGCCCAGGATGCTGGCAACTTGTCCTGGCAAGGACACACACAGCTGGGGGTCACTGTGGCATCTGGAGAAGCAGATGCATTCTCAGGACCCGGTCACCCCCACGAGGAGAGGCCAGAGGAGCTCCCAGGGGGACATCCCCGCAGCTGGGACCCACTTCCGTCAGCCCCGTGGCCCTGGGAGGCCGGGCGGGCTCGAAGCACCATGTCTCTGCCCAGCAGCCAAGCTGCCAGTCACATGCTGTCCCCACAGAGACACGGCTGGCGCTTGAGAGGAGTGTTTCGGGGGTGTCTGCGTGCAGCAACGGTCCTGCCAACGCCGTGCACTTGGCGGACCACAAGCTGGGCAGCCAGCCAGGGAAGGCCCGGACAGGCTACCCCGAGGACAGGCGACTCCAGGCTGGACACAGGAAACAGAGCCCGTGGGAGTCACTCCAGGAAGGGGTACGGCCCGAGCAGGGGCCCTGGCCTCACTGGCCTGTCCTCGTGTGACCCGCGCCCAATGCAGAGCCATCACACACCTTTCCGGGGCGCCCTGCACGGCTGAGGCGCGGGCGCGCTGGATGTCGGCCTCCAGCCGCTGGCGTTCCTCCTGCAGGCGACCCTCGGGCAGTTCCTGCAGCAGCGCCTCCTTCTCCTTCACCAGCTGCTGCCGCTCCCGGTCAGCCTCGGCCAGGCCCGGCCACGACTCGCTCTCCAGCTGCGCCAGCTGTTGCTGGATGCTGCACACCCTGCCGGGTGGGCACAGAAATGCATGTCAGTAATGCCACACCGGGCACACGTGTCACCTCTGCAGCCCCACGACCTCGGGGACACAGAGGTGGCATCGGGAGCAATTCACAGTGACCAGGCTTCAATGGCAGTTTTTTTTCTTTTTTGGGGGGTGGAGGGTCCCACCCGGCGATGCTCAGGGGTCCCTCCTGGCTCTGCACTCAGGAATCACTCCCGGCAGTGCTTGGGGGACCCTATGGGATGCCGGGATAAAACCCAGATCGGCCTTGTGCCAGGCAAATGCCCTCCCCGCTGGACTATCGCTCCAGCCCCAGGCACTCTTCCTCTCTCTCTATTTCTCTCTACTTTTAGGCGGGCTGGGGGTGGCAGGAGGAAACCTGGGGACACTGGTTGTGGCGAAGGGAGAGGCATTAGAACATTATGTAACTGAAACCCAATCGTGAGCAGCTTTGGAACTGTGTCTCACAGTGACTCAATAAAGATAAATAAATAAATGAATGAATAAAGCGCCCCTGCTGAAGTGCAGTTCCCTGGCCCTGCTCGCCTCCTGTACCCATCAGTAGGACACGAAACTGCCCCCATGCCCTGCCCTCTGCAAGAGCCTCTCTAACCACCAGAACAGAGAAGCCGGCACACAGCCCTAGAGAGTAAAGGGCCCCAGCTTCCTGTAGGGGATCACAGCCCTTTCCATGGCAAACGACGCGCCAGTCTCACGACTGAGTTCAGGAGGGAACCTTGGAGAGAAACTGGAGCACACGCACCCAGCATGCGACAGGCAGAGTCAGGGTGCCACCTCGCAGCAGCGTCCCAAGACTCCCTGACATCTTGGAGCCAGCAGGGAGCATCCCTCGAACAAATGTCAGGCCCAGCCCAGGCCTACTGGCAGGTTAGTGTGGCTCCGTCTAGGCAGTGGGACTCCTCCACCTTCCTCGCGGGGTCGATTCAGCACTCGTGCCCACAGCAGCCCCCGCGGCGCTCGGAGCAGCTTTGTGCCAGGCTCCCCAGGGCACGGTCTGTCGGCTGCGGGGTCACAGAGCCCCCCTCTTCATGTTCGCAGCCAATTAGAAAGCCATGCTCACAAAAGGGGGTCGCAAGGCGCAATTCCAGTGATGCACTGTCCTTGCGCCCCCCCGGCCAAGGAGGCAAGGAAAAGCACTGTGTCAGCAGTCTCGCTCTAGCTCACTTCCTGAAAACGTAGGGGCAGGTCGCCAGAGCGTGTTACCCGGAGAACTGAGACACCCCGGGCCCACCCGTGAATGACCGGTGTCAAGAAAACGTCTGCATGCAAGCACGTGCCGAAGCCCAGGCATCCCCAGAAATAACAGCGCCAAGTCAGGAATTAATACCCCACAAGACTTCTGGAATATTCTACCAGAGCTCAAGAGAAGCCAAAAGGGAGGAATAAAAGATGAAAGACACAAACAAAACAAGCAGATTCATTGAGTCCTTCGTTCCTTCCATTTGGATTGATCAGGCCAGCAGGCCCGTTTCGAGAAGCGCCACCTTAGAATTTTTGGAAGCTTCTGTGTGAGGGTCAAGATCCTACATCAGTGTGGGGCCAGAAAGATAGCACGGCTGGTTTGCACACAGCTGGTCTGGGTTCAATCCATATGATCTCCTGAGCAATACCAAGTGTGGCTGAAAAATTGAAATAAAAAAAAATCCTGGGGGCCGGAGTGATAGCACAGCGGGTAGGGCGTTTGCCTTGCACACAGACGACCCGGATTCGATCCCCAACATCCTATCTGGTCCCCTGAGCACTGCCAGGAGTAATTCCTGAGTGCAAAGCCAGGAGTAATCCCCATGCATCGCCGGGTGTGACCCAAAAAGCCAAAAAAAAAAAAAAGATTCTATGTAAGTGGTTAGAGAGAGCTACGAGGGCTGGAAGCCTCAGTGTATCTCCTGCGTGGACGAAGAGCCCGATGCGCGATAGGGGCGTAGACACCGAGGGCAGCAAGAGTCTGAACCCGAGCAAATTCCATGCAAGAAAACCCTTAGCCTTCCAGAACAATCTCAAGGAACAGTCACCATCAGAACAATGAGGAAGCAATGAAGTTACGAACGGGAAAAGAGGCAAAGAGCAGAGTAAAAGATCTAAAAACATCCACTCACGGTGGCGAAAGAAATATCCACGGGCCCCAGATGGAACAGTGCGCTGGGACCCTCCGCAGAGTGCGACAGAAGCGTGCAGAGACATGGGGCCAGGTTCGCCACTGCGAGGGACATCAATTCTCCAGGAGACTGGCGACATGCGGGCTGTTCTAAACACAGGCGAGCATTTCTGTACTTCCCAACAGGCCTGTGGTTTTTATTGCTCATTTTCAGGATGACGCAGATAACTGCACACTCATTTCTCAGCTCTCAATGAAATATAGAAGAATCACAGGCTCGATCAGGAAGTGCCGGACATCCGAGACCTATGCTCAGCACGGCTGAGGGCAAGCTGTGCCCAGAGCCACAGAAGGATTTCACAGAGAACAGAGAACGTCTGGGATACGCTGGCACGTGCCAGCCTGCAGAGGGGGCCCTCACTGGCGCTGCACAGGACCTTGGCAAAGTGGCCTTTATGCAAAGTGACGACAGGAAAAAACCAGGTCCCTCAAAATGGAGATTTGTTCAACGTCATCTCGTTCTGGGCCAGCAAGACAGTATAGTGGGTAGTGAGCTTGCTGTGCAAAAGACCGATCCTGGTTCAATCCCCGGCATCCGAGGACCACCCCGCCCCCACCCGAGCTGCACCAGGAGCGACCCCTAAGCACAGAGCTAGCTAGGAGTTAGCCCTGGGTACCTCTGGATGTGGCCCAAACAGATTAAACCCCCAAAGGAGTTTTATTATGACGATGAGAACAATCCCGGCTGGCAGCCACGGGGCCCAGCTGTTCACCCGCGGGCTTGAACTCACTCCCGCGGGGTCTGTCATTCTAACCCTGGGGAATTAAGGAAACTTCCAGAAAAGCTTTTTCTTCCTCTCCGCAATGGCATTTCAGTGAAATTCAATACGAGGGAGCAAAACCACGATGAGAGCTGGCGAGCTCAGAGCATGGGGATGGGGCCTCACGAGGGTCCGAAGCAGGCTCCGTCTCGAGCACTGCCAGGACCTCGGCGTGACCCACGGGGTCCCCGGCCCCCGGCTCCCCCTGCCTTTGCACTGCACCCGTGAGCACCGCTTGGGACAAAAAGGCCGGTTAATGGATTTTCCTCCTGGCCGGCATGGGGACAGCAGAGGCGATGAGAGGCAGCCTTCGTCATTTCTCCCCACCCCCAAGAGCCAGAGATGTGGTCACTTGCGAACTGAGGGGCAGTCCAAGAGACTGATCCACTTTGCCTGGAACCCCAACACTGCGCTGATTCCTGAAAACAGATGAGCAGTAGGACCCATCCTGGCAGCACACACAGAGCTGGACAGAAACTGGTCAGCCGAATGTTTTGTTCCTATCTGCACTGCGGGGGTTTCTATGGAAACGCTACAGTTTGTGCCCAGTTCTGGAACAAGTGCTCTTAGGTTAAAAATAAGGAGCCATCTGCGTCATTGGGATTGCTTCAAGACTTGCTCTTCCAAACGAACTTTAGAAAAATCGCACATTTTGAACCAGGAATGTAAAAAGATTCCTGTCCCAAGGTCCGCCCAGAATCCCAAATGATGTTCCTGAAGCAAAAGGAAGAAGCGATCAAGTGGGAGCATTTGACAAGGTCCACTGTGGAAAACACCAAAACTAGTCACCATGACAATGGTTCCGTTGGCAGAATCACCTAGAAATCACATCACCAACTGGAATTATGAGTTCCACAGCCACCAACTTCCTTGAGGTCACACTGTGCACGCAGGCCAGTCCCGTCAGGAATACCACATTGTCAGCACCTGACGTCTCTAGGAAACCATCTCCAACCCAGGTTTCTCCCCGCATAGAGCTGGCGAGGGGACAGGGAACCCTGAGCGGGACTCTTCAATTTCATAAACGGGAGCAAAAAGACGCACGCCCAGGCAGGAGAGGCAGTAGGCATGGGCACCCCACAACGGGGGCAGCCCCAACCCCAGCAGAACCACTGGCTTTCTCAGATTGGCTGGCTCAGGTCAGGGGTGGGGAAAAGTGTCCACAGGCTTCCTGGCCATTGCCCCATGCCCAGCTGTCAGGGAACCACAGACAGAGGGGACGGCCCCAGAGCTCATGTCAGCGGGGACTCTCAACTCGCTTGCACCACTGGGCTGGTGCATTCTTTGTGAGGAGTTGTCATATGCCCCAGAGCTGTGACAGCTGAAATGGTTTCTGGACAGGGCCAGAGTCCCGACCTCACAGGGGGAACCACAGCTAAGTGTCCCCAAGTGTTACTTGAATACTGTGGTACTACCAGGTGCCCAGAAAGGCATTTTGGAAGCATCCATGGTGCACCCCAAGATTGCAAAGCTGGAACAGGTCCTTCCTCTGCGCAGTTAAAAGCAAGGTCCTCCTCAGAGGAACTGTTCTTGACTCCCGCCCTCCTTTTCCTTCCTTTTGGTTTGGGGACACACCTGGCAGTGCTCAGAGTTTACTCCTGACTCTGCATGGGGGACCTTTGGGGATGCCGGGGATCGAACTCAGGCACATGCAAAGTAAGTGCCCCCACTGCCGTTCTACCGCTCTGACCCTAAAGCCCTTGACTGTTGTTTGGGGCTCTGTGGCTGTTCTGAGGCCAGAGCTGGCTGCACTCATGGCTGTGCGCCCAGGAACCAGGCCTGGCAGGCTTGGGGAACCTGATAGGGTGCAGGGGCTAGAACCCGGGCGGCAAGCACCTTCCCACTGTACTATGGCTTCGGCCCCAACCTTTGACCTCCCACCCCACCCCCTGACACAGAAGTCACTGAGTGCTGTGGAAAACCCCAGCTCCAGCGAACACAAATGTCTGGCTAGGTGGGGGAAATGTCAAGGCACAAGGCAGGACAATGACGGGCCTGTTTGCGGTGCTTCCCGGTGGCCGGTCCTGCAGATCGCACACCCCCGCCGTGGGCACCCTCGCAAGCATGTGGGAGCGATTGGGGGGGGAGGGCGAGGCTGGAGCGGCGTGTTGGCAGGGACACCCCACAGCCTTCCAGAGGGCACCGCTCTCCTCTGCTCCCAAGGCAGCAGGAGCCATGCCACAGCCACTCAGGCCAGAAATGTGGCTCGGGGACTTTGGCAGCTGGCACGACTGGCTCAAACTCGGCCCCTCCAATGCTGTGACCTGCACTCTCATCCCCCCAGCCCGAGAAGCCTGCTTCCCAAACAGATGCCTGGCAGTTTCACGGAGCGTGTCTTCTAAAATCATTTTATTTTTTGCTTTTTAGGTCACACCCGGCAATGCTCAGGGGTTCTTCCTGGCTCTGCACTCAGGAGTTACTCCTGGCGGTGCTCGGGGGACCATATGGGATGCTGGGAATCGAACCCAGGTTGGCCGCGTGCAAGGCAAACGCCCTACCTGCTGTGCTATCGCTCCAGCCCCTGAAATCATTTGTTTTTTAAGACTCCTTCCAGAGGGCACAAGAGAAAAGGTCATGAGAGCTAGCACTGCACCAGATTTCTGCCAACATGCCCAGGGCAGGCCTCAGCTTTAAGAAGATTTACCATGTTTCCCCAGGCCCCTGACACTACCCTGCGAGCGCCTGGGGACCCCATTAAACTGTCCCGTAAATCAGAAGGGACAGCTGTGCCCATTAACCCGCGCGGCTAGAGGCCAGAAGAGTTAAGATAAGACGTGTAAGAGGAGAGTGTCAGATGTGGTACTCGCGGGAAGTGAGGGTGGGAGGGGGTCCTGAACCACTCGGAGAGCTGGCAAAGTCCCTTAGATCACACGGATCAAGACTTTCAGACCTGAAATGCCACTGAAAGTCTGCCCGACCTGTTCCAAGCAGCGGCACAGAAATGACAGTGCACACGGCGGACAGACGCCCCACGCGGGAAGCCTCGGGCTCCTTCGCGGCCTCCTCACCTCTTCCGGGCTTCCTCATACTGCCAATTAAGCCGGACTCGGTCCACCAGTCTTGTTTTATCATCGAAGATGAACTTTCCAGAACAGAAAGGGGAAACAAAAAGGGAAACATATTAAAAACATTTTCCACCAAAAAAAAAAAAAAACCATTGCAACTTTCAGCAAGTATGAGGGTTTGTTTTTTCAATCAAACTGCACTGATTTCCCCCAGGCCCGGGGCCGTGAGCGTCGGGAGCCCGGGGCGCCTCACACCTCTTCTCTCCCTCCCCGCTTTGCAAAGGTCAGGAAGAAAGAACACGTACCAGGTGCCACGTCTGGCTGGTGGGGGCTGGGGACAGGGCTGCCATGAATGGCCTCACCCAGTCGGGTGGGCATTCAGGACCGACTCCACACCAGTGAGGGTGGAATTTCAAACAACAACAAATGACATTTTCAAAGGAACTCAGGGGTGACTAAGTGAAAGTGGACGCCAGGACAAAACCATTCCTCCCATTTTCTACCACACTGTGCCGAACTGCTTGGCATACAGCCAACAATGCTGCAGGAGCAGCTAAGGTCTCCGGGAGATGCTGATGCAGCCGAGAGGAGGTGAGGGAGACCTCGGGGTGAGGTCGGAAGCGAAATGCTTGCACCCCAAACTCAGGGGCAGCCACCAAATGCCCCGCACACTGCCAGAATCTACAATCCTCCGTGTGCCCTAATAGACCTGTGAGGACAGGCTGTTGGTTCATTTGTTTGGGGACCACATCCAGCCATGTGCAGGGGTTACTCCTTGCCCTGCGTCCCGGGATCACTCGGAATGGTGGTCGGGGGACCCTATGGGATGGCGGGGATCAATCCTGGGTCAACCACGCACAAGGCAAATGCCCTGCCCACTGTAGCCTCTCTCCAACCCCGAGATCTATATAACCTCCCAGCTTCTCTGTCCCTTCTTTCTTGGAACTAGCTGGGTGCAGTTTCAAGACTCTGGGTTCCATTGGTTGGTGTGACCTCTCAAGATCATATGTGATGGTCACTTGGTTTTCAAAGAACTGCGCCCCCAGAAAGACATGACAACAACCTACTGCAATGACGAGCTTTGCTAGTAAGTCTCTCTCTACTTCTCCTTGAACAGAGATGGGAGAGATCCTTTGGACGGACTGAGCATGCTCCAACAACACGTCTCAGTGCCCGTGCAGGGACCCTCTGCGTGGCATTCCCAGCAACTGGGGCTACAATGTCACCCTCTGGAAATGACCATTACAGTGGCCTCTTAAGACCAGCAAGGTTGGGGACAGAGCGACAGTACAGTGGGGAAGCTGTTTGCCTTGCACACGGCCCACCCAGGTTCAATCCCCAGCATCCCATATTATCCCCCGAGCACTCCAAGAAGTAATTCCTGAGTGCAGAGCCAGGAGTCACCCCTGAGCATTGCCAGGGGTTACCCCAAACCAAAATAAAATAAAAATACCAGTAAGTGTCATTTCTATTTTGTTTCTGTTTCAGTGTCATACCAGTTGATGTGCAGGGATTAGTCCTGGCTCGGTGCCCAGGAATCATTCCTGGCAGAGCTTGGAGGACTCGATGGGGTGCCAATGATCAAATCAGGGTTGACCCCATGCAAGGCAAGTGTCTTCTCCAAGTGTCATTTCTGTGCTCTGGCACCACCCCTGCTAGGGTTCGAGGGCCTGTGTGTGGTGCAGTAGAAGGAACCCTGGCTAGGTGCATGCGGGGAAAGCACCGTGCCTACTCCACTCTGCTCTGGCCTCTTCTCGACCTGCTTAGACATCTGTAAGTCTGCCTTTGCCCTTTCCTTTGAGAACAAAAGTGGATGTGTTAGTGAACAGAGAAAAAAAAAACCTACAGTCAGGTCGCACGGAGCCCTGTATGTAGCCCAGAGGCCGGCCACTGCCTCCCATGCACCTGCCTGTGTTCCTTACCAGGCCGAGCACATCTTCCTTCATCAGCAGCCATCCACAGAAGTGACTCAAAGGGATCACTGCATGGGGCACGGTGATGTCGCTAATGGCCCACTAGCTTCTACTTCCTGGGGCTAACCGATGTGACAGGATCCCCAATGTGGCTGTGACCGACAGAAGCCACTGTATGATGAGGTTACAAAAGACAGTGACTTCCATCTCGCTGGGAGACGTTCAACTTTACGTTTTGAGGAAACAAGCTGCTGGGAGCGGAGGTTCACAGTTCCATCCTGCCGGAAATCGTGGGCTGGACCATTCTCCAGCCAAGCCCTCGGACGAGAGCTCAGCCCTGGCCGACACCTTGTCTGCAGGCAGGGTCGTGAGCGCATAACCTGAACCAGGTTTTGGGGGGGCGGGTGCGGGTGCTGAACAGCAGCAGAACTCGCAGCTGCCTGCCACACTTTAGAAGGCGAGAGAGCAGAAACCCAGAGGGGCGAGCTCAGACCCAGACGGGCTGCGCTCGGGCTCCCTGACCGCGAGTCGCCCGGCGTCAAAGGGCGAGGGCAACAATATTTCAATTGAGATACCAGTCAGGGAGCTGTTCTGGGACCAGGCCCAGGCTGGCCCCGAAAAACAGCAGGGGTCCCGGGTTACGGCTGGGGTCATCGCTACACAAGCAGCCACTCCCCACCTGACAGTCTGAGAAGAGAGTCTTGCCCCGATCATTAGAGAACCTTTGATCTCTCCCCCGTCTCTCCGAGAAGCTCGGAGTCTCTCCATCCTAATTGCAACCTTATGATAAGCAGCAATAAATTATTCATGGAATTCAGTAAGTCTTGTACTCCCTGCCTTCCCTCATTCCAGTATCTTTAGGCGGGAATGCCGGGCATTTTTCACTCAGATTCTTCTTGTGTGCGCGCATGGTGTCACAGCACTGCCTGGGCGCAAACACTCTGTGTGTGAGAACAATGAGGGGAAAGACACACACGGGGCTGTTCCCGGCCACACAAGACAAGACGGATTGTTCTGGACTACTTTATGCTCTCCTCAAAGGGCCACAATTGGCCACAGTTCCCAGGGCGTGCTGGCTATTATTGACTTTGTTCGGGGCGGGCATTCTGCACTCCTGTGGCCTCTTGACTCAATGAACCCTCTGCAGGCATTCCCGGGTGCTGTCCGAGGTGGCCGCAAGAGTGTCAAAGCAGCAGTGTCCTTGGACAGTCACCCCCTGTGGCTGCGAACGGTGGCAGCCAACTTTGTTTCCGGGGCTAGTCAAGGCCTCACTCATGATCAAAAGGGGCACTATGAAAGTCTTCCAAGACCCAAACAAAATTAATTTTAGTTCAAGTCGATTTCCTGACATTCTCTTAGAAGAATAAGATCAAAGTATGACCCAAGGTGACACAGTCAGTCACCCAGCCTTTGAAAGTTATTGGGCTAAGCTACAGAGGGACAAGATGTGGCCCTCGGGCCAGATCTACAACAGCGCACCCTCCAACCTCGTTCTGTAAATAAAGTTTTCTTGCCCAGGCCACTTGCTCATATGACATTTTGTGGTGACTTCCGAAGGGCCAGGATAGAGACTGCATGACCAGCCATCCTAGAATCTGTAGACCTGGGGTCTGGACAGAGGAAGTGAGTTGACCTATGCTCAAAAAACGCACAGGTCCAATACAGGTCTGTCCACAAGCACCTATGCTCCACTCTCGCGAGAATTGTAGCATCTTTCAGAATCAAAGAGAGAGAGATGGGCAATCCATCACCTCCCGGGTCACTGAACCATCTGTCCCAGCAGCCATGAGAGACACTATGGTCTCCTCAAGAACCAGCACACTTCTTAAGCACATATGGAAACTTGGAACGAGTGAGCGCCGCTGAGAGGACAGTGCCCCCCTCCCTCCAGGCTGGCATACCTCGCCGATAATGTCCGTCTGAGAGCCCGCATCGCAGAACTGCTGAGGGAAAGACTCGCCAGGCGCACCGGCCCCCTGGGGCCACTCCTGTGGGGGCTCACTGAGGGAGCAGCTGTTCTTGAAGCCATCGGTCAGTTTCGCCAAGCTCTGCAAAGGAAGGAGAGAGTTGCCTGAGCAGAGCTGGCCCCTGCCCCGTTCGGCTCCCAGGAGACGGGGCAGAAACGCCGAGCGCCATGGGCGCTTTAATAAACGTCTTGGTAACTGAAATCAAGTGTTGCTGAGTCCTCATGGCAGCGTGTGAATAAAAGCGAGAACAATTGAGGAGCTATTTTTACTGTTCTGTTGTGTTTTTGTTTTTCTTTTCTTAAATTGAAATGCTGTGTTTCCTTAAGAAAAAAAAAAACAAGCTTTCCCTTCCCCAAAAACCAAACAACACACAGATGCAGAGTGAAGGGGCTGCGAGGGGGAGGGGCTGGGCGCCACAGCGGGAAGTGTTGGTGGAGGGGCCGAGTCTCAGTGAGAACAGGCGTAACTCCAGGAGCACAGCACGCAGGTCTGCACCCCAACACAGCGGTCACTGGGCACACTGAGGAACATGCCTCAGCCACATCTGCCCCAGCGAGGCACACACACACTAACCACACACACACACACACACACACACACACACACACACACACACACACTAATGCATGGAGCCGAGCCGGGCAGGGAGATGTCCCCAGGAAAAGGTATGCCACCAGGTGAGCCCTGGCAACAGTGAGTGCCGCCACACATGCGGCCTCGCCTGGCGTCATTTCTTCAGCACGATTCAACTTCATCCTCTCACTGGACGTCGGCTTGTCAACAACGAGATGAACTACCTATTTGGGCATATGGAAGAGCTATGGGCAAAAGTTCAAGAGAAATCCACTTTCAAAAGAGTTTCCGATGAATTCTGGTGAGCGACAATGTCTGCAGACTCAGGAACATGCAGACTCGGCATCACACCTCGGGCTGAGCTCTGTACGCAAAGATGCCTGCGCCTGGGCTACTGCCACTCAAGGACTATCAGGAGGAAAAGCAGCCCTCTCTCCCACTGACACAAGCTCCTGGAGCTTCTTGGAGAGCATGAGCAGGCCTGCACCTTCTTCCTGAAATTCTGTCTTCTCAGCCTCGACAGGGCAAGGACTGTGGTGTCCCGCAGGAAATCCAAGCAGAGCCAGTTACCTCCCGGAACTGGAAGAGCTCTCTGAAAGCACGAGACTTCCACAGCCCTCAGACGACAGCCGAGGTGGAGCCCGGTAATCTGCAGGACCTGTTTCACTGCACTTCAGAGCCTGAGCTCGTCACACCACGGGTCCCTCTACGTCTGACATTCTATAGAAGCGAGACAAATGCCCAGAAGGAGCCCGGTGCTCGCTGAAGCGTGTGACATGACAACTAAACTCCCCAACTGAAACCACTGAAGGAATTCTAGCTCAGAGAAAGACCTGTGCGCATCCCTGTGCAGCGGCCAGCTTTCTCTGAAAAGAACAGAGAGCAGGGGTGTTCCAGGGTGCCCCCAAGTAAAGGCGCTGAAAGTTCTGCAAAGGTCCACCATGGCGGTCCAACCCCATGGTGGACACTGCGCAGACGCGTCAGGGGAGCCAGGGGGTCCTGGTGGGGAGATGGGAGAGGGGAGGAGGAGGCCAGTGGCATAGTCTGCTTCCACTCTTCTGACACCTGAGCAATGGCTACGGTACCAACGCTTGGGGCATGGGTTGTCCACAGAGACAAGCTGGAGTCCCAACCAAACCCAGGAACCTGCAATGCAAACTGACTGGGGAACGAGGTCTCTGCAGGTGAAATGAGGTTAGTGCAGGGCACAGTGGGTGCGTCACTGTGGACTCTGATGCAGTGACTGGAGGTCTAAGGAGAGGAGACTGAACACGAAGCCGCATCTAAGGCAGAGATGGCAGGGATGTGCCTATAGGCCAAGGGATGCTGGGCAGTAATAGTAGTGACTGAAGTGAGGGCTGAGATTAGGAAGATACTTCTTGTAGGCCTTCAAAAGGAACATGGGCAACATCTTCTCCACAGACATGTGTCCTCCAGACTCCAGAGAAGAAAAGTCTGTTGTGTAAGTCACCAGTTGTGTGGTACTTGGCTACGCCACCCTGAGACTGACCATGTACTCTGCGATGTCTTTCTCTGCAAACACACACACTCATACCACAGACTCAGGCCCTAATAGGCAAATTTCACAGGTAATACATAGATTCTATATCTAGTGAGGCTCTAGGAGGAAACCAGAGCTGGTGCAGGAGAGGAGTTACCTGCATCAGGTCCCGCCTCTCCTTCTCGCCCGTCCAGATTGCCTTCTTGATGGTCCGCAGTTCACTCATGATGGCCTGAGCCTCATCCACTTTGTAGTTGGTGTGAGCATTTGACATCTTCCGATCAATTCTGGTTAGAAAAGAAAGATAAGAGTCACTGGGGGGGGCGGGGGCGGGAGGAGAGATTATCAACATTCCTTTAAACAAAAACGAACTCAAAAGCTTCTGAGAAAGGTGAGAAACAGTGGCAAACACAAGGCCAGAGTGACAGTGCAGCGAGGAGGGCATTTGCTTTGCATGTGGCCGACCTGGGTTCGATCCCTGGCATCCCATACGTTCCCCCGAGCACCCCCAGGAGTGATTCCTGAGTGCAGAGCCAGGAGGAACCCCTGAGTATTGCCAGGTGTGACCCAAAAGGCCAAAAAGAAAAGTAAAAGGAAACAGTGGCAAACAATGGCCAAGTCTACCTCAATATAAAAGTCATTCCTGAGTGCCCTCAGTGTTTGGGGAGAGAAAATGCAGAGCTTGTACACCATCCCTTCTCAAGGTTAACCCAAGAGCTATGATTTGGCTGTGGGCGATGCCCTCTGCCCCATGGCAGGCCTGGCTCTGGGTGGTGGCAAAGACTTGGCTCCAGCCTTCCAAAACCAGTTCGTTCCAGTACAACATCCTTATCATATGTTTGATACCTCAGTCCTGAAACTCGGCAACTGTTGGCGCTAATGAAGACGGCACCGTTTTTTTCTGGAAATGGAACAAACACCTCCTCTGCAAAACCCTACCTTATGCTTGGTTCCACTGCACAGGCTCAGCTTCTAAATTGCCTCTCCCGAGTATGGGGAATCATGTCTGCCATGGAGGCAGGGGGAGGGTGGGAAAGGGGGCGTATACTGGGGATATTGGTGGAGAGGATTGTGCACTGGTGGAAGGATGGGTGTTCGATTATTGTGTGATTGTAACCCAAACATGAAAGCTTGTAACTATCAGGGCTGGAGAGATAGCACAGCGGGTAGGGCGTTTGCCTTGCACACAGCTGACCCGAGTTCGATTCCCAGCATCCCATATGGTCTCCTGAGCACAGCCAGGGGTGATTCCTGAGTGCAGAGCCAGGAGTAACCCCTGTGCATCTTCGGGTGTGCCCCAAAAAGAAAAAAAAAAGCTTGTAACTATCTCACAGCAATTCAATTAAATAAATAAAGTTTGGAAAGAAAAAATTTTAAAAATGAAATAAAAAATAAATTAAAAAATAACAAAATAAAAATAATGCAGTTCTTCAAATTTGTTTATTTTTAAAGCCATATCCTTTACTGTTTAATTTTGTGGTTTAAATTGCTTCTCAACCTATGAGAAAATAGAGCCCCAAACCAGAGATGAATAAAGCCACATAAATAAAAAAATTGCCTCTCCCACATCATCCTGCAAATCTGGGCCCTCACAAAGCCAGCCCATGCTTTCTTACTGGCCACTCACAAAACCTTCCCAGTGTGGGTGAGTTCCTATGGCACCCACAGAAGCCACGTTTCCTCCCCCAACCTCACTTTCCTCGTGGCGGCATGGGGGTACCAGAGCAGCTGCTCCTCTCTCCTGACACCATGGAAGCGGAGAGCTCGTTCAGCAGTTGCACGGCACATACTATTCGTGGAGACTAGCACTGCCAGGTAAATACCGAGTTCGCATGCCATTACACACATGGAAGTAAAAGTCGCCGAGTCCTTTATTATCACTCTCCAGTTCCAGCCACAAGTCACTGCTCCCAAGAAAACGGCAGCTGCACTCACTGAGAAGGGCGAACACAGCGCCGGGGCCTCTGCTCTTCCAGGGGTCCAGGTTCGAATCCTGGCACTGCATGGTCCCCTGAGCACTGCACAAAGTGAGCACTAAGTTGGGAGTAGCCCCCAAACCCCACCAAGTATGCCTCCCCCCAAAAAAATGCTTGCCAGTCGTCTTCCAGGACAGGGGGGGCAGGTGCACCTGAGCGTCCTGAGCCCTGACAGGGGGCTCCGTGTTCCTGAACCTTGGTGACCTCACAGAGATGCCAAGTATAGAACAAAGATCCAAATCCAGCTGATGGCACAGGTCCGTGGGCACCTGCCAAGCTGAGCCCACAGCTGAAACATCCGTCTGCCAGAGTTTAGGAGCAGAGTTGGGGAGCCTCTTCTGGCACTATTATTAGCTGCTGCATGTTATATAATAGCTATAATTAGACCCGACTCCACCCTCTGCACACACTTCTAAGTGCCCAGAGAATTAACAATAAAAAGACTCTGTGATCAAGAACCCTCATTGAAGAGCAAGCCACGCCTGATAGCAAGGAAACCGGCTCGGCTCCCACTTGGGGCGGTGCTGTGAGGGACACCCCCTGTCTGGGGCTGTTCGTCTCCTGGGACTCCACAAATACCATTTCAGCTGCTCTGTGGAGAACCAAGCACATGATACAGGGCAAAAATGCAAGGAGCAGCCAACGCTTCCTGGAGACCAAGTCAAGACATCTTGGCCTATGAACGACCCCTCTTCCGTGGAGTCCTTCCAATGCACCTCCCTTAACACCATCAACCACAAGCACAGAGGCTGACACAGTCTGTTGAAAAGGGCTCCGCCGTTTCCACCCAAAGCATCCCAGGCCAGGAAGGTGGGCCTTCTCCTGGACAACCAACCAACTGCCTGTGTGCTAAGGGAAAGAGCATCTTCCTCCAGAGAAACCAAACGCAGCAAACGTACCATCACCGACAATGATGCCCATGTCGAGAAAGGAAAGCACTGCACCCAATTCATCTGAAAACACAGGTCGGCCACTCTTCAGGTTGCGGACCACCCGCTGACCCTGGGCAAAGGGTCCCTGCAGGCTCTGAGGGGCCGCAGAGCCAAAATGCAGCCCTCAGCAAGCCTGGGCTCGTGTCAGCAGCCTCTCAACATCAGGCTTTCAGCGAGGAAGAAGCCCCGGCCAGGGAAAAGCATCTGTTGGCGCAGATGCCCGGGAGATGAGGAAGTGAAGCCCCAGGGCCCAGAGCCGGGCTCTCCCCAACCGAGAGATGCGGCCGCCCAGAGAAGCACAAAGCCCAGCCTCGAGCTGCAGTCTTTCCCCCACCACGGGCGTCCCTGTGAAGGGGAGCGCCAACGTAGGGTCTGGGCGCCCCCGCTGTGCGGAGTCCCACACATTCCAAAGGTTGTGTCGGTGAGAACGGAAGGGGAAAGATCACCCGGTCACAAGTGTGAGGGCCTGGGGAGGTGCACGGGCATACTGGAGTCTCTGGTTCGAGACCTGGCACCACATGGGCCCCTGAGCCCCGAGCATGGAGCCAGGAGGAGCCACCCCTAGGCACTGCAGGGGTCGGTCCCCAAACAAAGGTGTGAAAGGTATCAAAGAACACGATCTTGAAGCTCAGGGAATTTCGGGGATACTATTAGCTACAAACACCCCTAAATCAGAGAACATACATACAATGACGTGAACAAAGATCAAGCACACTTTATTCAAGCCGTGTGACTGGATGATATTACACGGTGTGAGGACCAGATCGAAACCATCGCTCATGGAGCAATGACCCGAAGGCATCTCTTTGTCCCCTCCTCTAATCCCCAGGGACCCAAAATTTTAGCCTGAAAATACCAGGTTCCGTCAGAAGACAGCTGAGATCTAGTAGTCTGCATTGGAATCCGGGCTAAGATGCCACCAGGGACCTGCCTGCAAATGGCTCCATTTGCAAATTCAAGTCACTTCCATTTCTCAACCTGGGTCCATTCTCATCTCACAGAAACCTCAAAGGACACAAAAGCTTTCAGATCTGCCTTGACTGGGGGGGGGGGGGGGGTTCTGCCTTGTATTGAATTTCCTCTAAAACTTCGCTCAGACATGCTCAATACATTCCAGCCCAGCGGGGAAAGCGCTGACTATGGCCTGGTGCTTATTAATTTTAAGTAAGAAGCCAAGCCAGCATAAATACATCTCAAAAAGGAAAAGGAAACTGAGAAATGCTGAGCCCTGAACACCAGCGCCCCCAAGTTCACATCTGCCATCCTGTTGCCCAGTATAGGGCCTGTGGGAGATGACCACGTCAAGCGTGTGGAACCCCACAGATGGCAGGTCTGAGACCCCAGCAGCTCTCTCACCCCTTCTGCTGTGTGAGGACACAGTGAGGTGGCCATTTCTGAGCCAAGAAGTTGGCTGGTCACCAGGTGTGACTGTTCAAGGCAACTTGAGCTCAGCCTTCCAGCCTCCAGAACTATCTGGAAAATTCTCGTGTGCCTAAGTCGCCTAACTGTGGTATTACAGCGGCCCCAGTAATGAGTGCACACACTCTTCAGTATTCTGCAGCCATTCAGGGGAGGTGCCGTCAGGATCACAGCGGAGGCTGACACGAGACCCCTCCAGAGTCAGCCACACCCAAGTCAGGCCCCTACACTCACACTATGAACACAAAGACCATCCACCCAGCTCGTCAAAGAGCACCTGAAACTCAGCTGCTGCTCTTCAGGGTCAGATTTGATTTGTTTTGGTGGGAGGCGGTATCAGGGATGGAACCTGGGACCTCGTGCGTGCACAGCCTGTGCCCAGCTGTGGACGGGCCTGCGCCAGCTCTGCCCCCGTGGAGCCATTGTGCCATGCGGGCAGGGCATTTGCCAAGCACACGGCTGACCCAGGTTGGATCCCAGCACCCCATGTGGTCTCCCGAGCCTCGCCAGGCAGGAGTACTACCAGGTAAAGGTAAAGGTAAAGGCCCTCCCGTTGATCATCGATTTGCTCGAGCGGGCCCAGTAACGTCTCCATTGGAGACTTTGTTGTTACTGTGTCTGGCATATCGAATACTCTCGGTAGCTTGCCGGGCTCGCCGAGAGGGGCGAAGGAATCGAACTCGGGTTGACCATGTTGGCTGCGTGCAAGGCAAACGCCCTACCCGCTGTGCTATCGCTCCAGCCCCCCAAGTGTTGGTCTTGTAGCGCTGTCTGAGGAACCTTGTGTGTGCTCCTGGTCCTCCCTGAACAGTGCTCTTTCCTGGTACTCCATCCACACAGGCCAAGTGGTTGACTCCAGAAGACACACGGCTGAGACCAGACCAATAGTCCAGCAGGTGGGGCATATGCCTTGAAAGCAGCCAACCAGGTTCGATCCCTGGCATCCCATGTCCCCCGAAACCGCCAGGAATCATCTCTTAACTCAGAGCCAGGAGTAAGCCCTGAGTACCACAGGCTGTGGCACAAAACCAAAATTAAAAAGGCACATGGTGTTAAGCGAAATGAGTCGGAAAGAGAGGGACAGACATAGAAAGATTGCATTCATCTGGGGAACATAAAGTAACAAAATAGGAGACTAACACCCAGGAGTGGCCAAGATTAGTACCAGGAATTTTGTTCCATGGCTTGGAGGCCAGCCACACATGCTGGGGGAAAAGGGAGCTCATATAGAGAAGGGAGCACCAAATAAAGGGTGTTGGGAGGATCCTCCCAGGATGGGAGAAGCATGTTGAAAGTAGACTATAGACCAAACATGATTGCCACTCAATGCCTCTTTTGCAAACCACAACACCCAAAAGGAGAGAGAGAACAGAGGGGTATGCCCTGCCACAGAGGCAGGGTGGCATGAGGGTTGGGGGGGGGGGGAGGGATACTGGGACCCGTGAATGGGCACTGGTGGAGGGATGGGTACTTGATCATTGTATAACTGAAACCCAAGCACAAAAATTTGTAAGTCTACAACTGTACCTCGTGGTGTTTCACTAATAAAATATTTTTTTTAAAGGCACATGGCTTAGTTGCCTGGCTGCCTGTTCCTCGGGAAGCCCCCAAGCATGAAAGGTACAGGGCCGGAGGCTTCATGAAAGCAGCCTCTGGACCTTTGGGTGCACGTGCAGCTGGCCAGGAGGGGATTCTGAGGAAAGCACGGCTAGATGTGGATGACATCCCAGCAGCCCAGTGACACCCGGAAGGCCCCACGCCCTGGAACAGTGACGCCCAGCCGCCAGTGAGCCCCATCCCAGGCCCAGAACTGCGGGGCTTCTGAGGACTGGCTGGGAACAAAGCCAAATCCATGTCCCCACGCAGCATGGAGAGCAGGGGGAGACCAAGGGTGGAGGAAGGCGTGCAAGAATGGGGCACGGACTTCACGCACGCGCACAGAGTGGCTGATTCCGGAACAGCCCCAGAGGACTGGAAGAGATCAGAGAGGGTGGAAGTTGGGGACCAATTCAAGTCTGGATGGGATTGTATTTACTTGGGAGGGGGCAGTCTGGGTCACACCCAGCAGTGCTCACGGCTTCCTCCTGGTTCTGTGCTCGGGGATTATTCCTCGCAGTGCCAGAGACTTAAGCATGCATGTAAAGCATACAAAGACATGCAAAGCATGCCTTCCAGACTGTCCTACTGAAGTGAGAAAACAGAGCACAGGTGGCCAGTGTGGCAAATGAGCACCAGACATGATCACAACAGGACGGGGACAGAACAGGGCCAGGACAGCCTTCCCCAAAGCAAACTGGGCCATCGGGCCAGTACTCAGGGACACTGGGGGTTTCACAGCAGAGAACAGCTTTGATGACATGAGGTGTGGGAAACGGGGATGAGCCCCACACCGACTGGCACACTCACCCCCGTCTGGGGAGGTGCATGCATCCAGCTCCAGTGCTCCCCAAATGTGAGGGAGAAGAGCCTGGGGGGAACCTCAATTCACCCAGAGGTTTTAGTTACCCATAAATGTTGCTCCCTTGGGACTGGAGCACTTGCACAGAAGGTTTGCCTTGCACGCGGCTGACCCGGGTTCAATTCCCAGCATCCCATAGGGTCCCCCGAGCACCGCCAGGAGTAATTTCTGAGTGCAAAGCCAGGAGGAACCCTTGAGCATCGCCGGGTGGGACCCAAAAAGAAAAATAACATGTTGCTCCCATTTTCTGAAGATTCTTCAACTGCCTTGAGAGAAATGAAAATTCGAGCTCTGCTGAGATACCATCACTCAGCCACGAGACTGGCAAAAAGGCAACAGCCGGGCAGCACGTGTCTGCGGGTGGCGGGCTGCAGAATGGAGCAGCCTCTGAAAAGGCAGGTTCAGCAGGACCCAAGCACCGGCCCTCACCGCTACAAAGCCACTTGAGGGCTTCCTCCTGAGACAGTCACATGACTGAGCCCCTGAATGCCAAGAACGGCACCTTGAGCCGGACCCAGCCTCGAGACAGCATGCTGCAGAAAGCAAACGCCTGTGCCAGTGACACACGGGAGCAGCAAGAGCTGCTACGGGGGACATTTGATGGGACAAGCAACTCGGTTTCTTCAACTAATCAGCTGCCAGAGAGCGGGGGAGAAGGGCTAGAAACACAGCAGGAGACGGCAAGCCAACGCTCATGTCAATCCGGACGCAGCTCAACCAGGGTAATGAGGAAGCTTCCTGGATTGCTGTTACATGCGGGCACAGTTAGCGTAGCTAAGTCCGGAACTGCAGGAGAGATGTTCATTGATTCCACACAATTCTAGGCTTCACTGCACTAAGGCAGAAGGAGTTGGGGTGAGGACAGGCAGCCTCCAGTACGCTGTCCCCTCATCTGGCGTGTTTGACATTTGCCATCATTCAAGTTTTATGTACACATGGCCAGAGATATCCTCTATCATGAACCTGAGACTGTGTTCGTGGCCAGTGCCCCTCTACAAAAAATGAACAACATACACAGACGTGCAAAAATACAAAAGCTTCTTTTTACCTCACTTGGACCCAAGCATAATGATGGATTTCCTTGCTTGCCAGAGAGTTCACCAAGATAAACAAGTCAAGTTTAAAATATTATAAGCAGCCAAACTCCTGGTGAGGTGCTCTGAAAAAGCATATTCGACATTTTCTGGGAAGCACGAAGCGCCCAACAGTTTCTGGAGAAGAACCCAGAGCCTCTGCCTCAAATCAGTGTTGGTAAGAATATGTGGGACAGTTGTTTATGTATTGCCTGTGCTGCAGGCTGGCATTCACAGTACGGGGATAGATGGGGGCAAAGACTATCCCCTGCAAGACTTACGAAAGAGTTTCCGAATGTCTCAAATAGCTGGTTCAACTCTGCACGAGCCAAGGGAAAGGGAGCAAGGTCTTTGGGAGCAGAGAACTAAGGAGGCTGCATCCATCTCAAGCACAGCCCATGGAAGCACCGGGAAGCTCCCTTGGACGCTCACGCATGCGCGCAGGGCTTGAGTGCCCACTGTGCTGTCCCTCCGTCCCGGGACACCAGCACAGTCCATCGCACTGACGATGGAAAACGCTGGAGTAGATCCTCCAGGACCAAGGCCAAGTGCAGCACCCTCACTGGGGCCACATGCTCTGGCAGGATGTGGCCTGACAAGCACTGCTGGCGAGGGTGAATGACACGGTGTGGCTCCCACCACGGGCGCCGCAGCAGCTCCTGTCTCACTCCCACAACCCTGGGGACACTGTGGCCTCCTCCTAGTCCTGAAATGACTTTGACTGCAAGAAACGGTTCTCCTTCCTCCCAAGGCCAGGGGCCATCTGAACACCTGGAACATTTTTGTTTTCTGGAAGGTTCAATCTTCAGTTGACACCACACTATAAGCTCTGTCACTGGTCTGGAGTCACCCACACCCTGCCACTAACCCTCTGCCTGCAAAGCCACCACTGGTAGAGAACAGTGGCAAGGGGGGGGTCTCCTTCCAAGGCTTTGGGTCTTCCTGAGCCACCCTATGCCCATGACCCAGAGGTTCTGCTTGTGAAAAATGAATTCATTGCCCTCCAATTGAGGGAGACATTTGTGAGCCCCAAGCTGGGCACTGCAGGGCTGCTGCCGACCCACCTGGAGAGACTCGGGGTCACAGCTCACCAGTAGGGTTCTGGCCTGGCCCAAGTGAGGTTCCAGAGTCTGGTCCTCAGTACAGGAAAAAAATTATCAAATAATCAACCAGCTATGAGGCCAAGGACAACCTCACCACAGAGATTCATTAGGCTGCAAACATCAGGAAGATCGAAGTGAAGGAAACCCACAGCAGCTGCATATGAGTACAATTTCAGATCCGGTGACCAACAGGGCGCAACTAAAGGGGACCGGTGACATTCATTTCCCTGAACTGAAATGGAACCTTGTATTAAAGTTTTGTGGCCACACCCGGCAGTGCTCAGGGTCACTCCTGGCTCCGTGCTCAGGGATCACTCCTGGCAGGCTCAGGGGACCCCACGGGGTGCTGGGGGCTGAACCCAGGGTGCCCATACAGAAGGCAGGCGCCTCACCCGCTGTGCTATCTCTCCGTCCTAAATGTAACTTTTAGAATGAGATGGAGAAACTACGACTAGCACGACTGGCGTTCTCATCTCAATGGCCATGCTTGGGCATGTGCAGAAATACTAAATTCAGCTTCGTTCCCGAGTATTTTCACAAGAGGAACCACGTGTCTTCCACAAAGATGTATGCTGCCTCAGCTGAGGAAACCGGAGCCTCAGTCCAGCAGAACAGCAGACAGCCTGGAAGCTGTAGGACGCGAGCCCCGGCGAGTTTCACAGTGGGCAAGTACCAGACACAAACACACAGGCAGACAGACAGACAGACAGACAGGCACGCAGCCCCAAGGGGGGAGCCCCTCCTGGGCCTGGGGGTACTCACTCTTGCAGAGTCTCCACCCCCTTTTCTTTGTACTGAAGTTCCTGCTTCATCTGGGTCAGCTCCCGTTTTAATCTGGAAAGCTAAAGACAGATAACATATTTTCTTATTTCCTCCCCCCAAACCAGCTGTGGAAAAGTGTTCCTACAGTTGTTAGCACTGTGATCGACCTCTGCGAGGCATTTCCAATCCGTGGGACTCTTTTCTCTCCCTCAGCTCCCGTGTGGGGGGCACACCTGGCTTCCAAGCCAGAATCAGGGTCACTCACAGCTGCCCAGCCCATGGGGAAGGGGCTGTCTCTCTGCAGTGTCGACACATTCTAGGTGGCACATTCTAGGCACATTCTAGGTAACACACATTCTGTGTGCTACCTCTCCACCTTGCTTCTACTTAGTGCTCAGACACCAGGCGCCCCGCTGCTGACGCCTTCGCCGCAGCTAGAGCAGGGCTTCAAAGCCTCTGGAAACGCCCAGGGCTTTCTCTGACGTGAGAATCTCTGCCCGGAAGATCCCTTCTGATTTAGGAATGAGACGGCAAGGGAACCGGGTGTGCAGATCCCAGACCTGTCCCATGCTTTGGGAAAGAGGTCCCTTCCCAGGAGGGAGGCGCCAAAGGGCCGGGAAAGGGCCACAGTGGCGGGAAGGTTCCTTGGAAAAGCAGCAGCAGGGGAATGGCAGACCCAACTCAGAGGGGAGCAGCTCTTCGGATCAGGTCTGATGGCACCGAAATATCTTCCCAAGTTGCACTGGGAGGTGGGGGTGGGGGACGCCGTGCAGGTGGCTTGTCAGGCGATGTAAGGTTTGCCAACGAAAACTGTGTCCCTTCCCTCTGCAGAGTGACACCAACTGGGATAAGCATCCGTGAAATCGTGAAACCTGAGCACTGACCACAAGGGCCGCCCTGCTGTGAACCCAGATAAATGAAGTCCCCGACAAATGCAAACAGGGTTCCGGGCATAGTAAAAAGGCAACTCACCCGGTCCCGACGACTCGCGATTTCCGCCTTGATTTGGTGAGGGTCATACTTCGTGTTTGCTGAGTATCCAGAGAAGGCTACACAGAAGGGGAGAAAAGAGTTTATTTTAGAAGAAATCTTTTAAAATAAACACACACAAATTTAAAAAAAAAATAGAATAAAGTAAAGACACACACACAGAGGAGATCTTCTGAGTGGCTGTAACAGAGCACCAGGTGGATGAGGAAGATTTCCCACTTCACAACCCCAAAGCTGGAGGCTTGAGCTTGGCCCAAGCCTATCTGCGTGATTCCCCAACAAGAATGACAGGCTGGAGGGAAATCAAACTCTCTCCTACCAGGACAGAATAACCCAGCTTCAACGCAAGTGGCCACGCGGGCACGCGCAAACACACTCACACTCACACATACAAACACACACTCACACACACATACAAACACACACACACACACGGGGTGATTCAACGGTCTGGGAAACTTCTCCTCCTGTGGAAACAGAACGTGAGCATGAATCCATTTTCACTCGCTTTTAAGACGCACGCACATGTGGAACCACTGCGAGGGAAGAGCCACAAAGCGTTAGTTCAGCTCAGCAGCTTCAGCACAAAGATCGTATTCTTAAGTTTTGCACAGTTCCAGTCTCCGGGTGAGTCATCTTTGACGAGGGGATAAGAGGGTCAAGATTTGTACGATGCAAAAAAGCCCATTCTCGGGGACTGGCTGATAGTAACAGCAGGTAGAGTGCTTGCTTTGCCTGCAGCTGACCCGGGTCCCATGCCCAGCATCCCGTAAGGTCCCCCAAGCACCGCCAGGACTGATTCCTGAACTGAGAGTCAGGAGTAAGCCCTGAGAATCACCAGTGAGGCCCCGAAGCTAAATGAACTGAAAAATAAGGCCAGTCTCGGTTCAGCCCTTCTGGAAAACAGTATGGATGATTCTCAAAAAACTAGAAATTGAGCTCCCATTTGACCCAGCAATACCACTCCTGGGAATATATCCCAGAGAGGCAAAAATGTATAGTCGAAGTGACATCTGCACTTGTTTGTTCACTGCAGCACTCTTTACAATAGCCAGAAACTGGAAGAAACCTGAATGCCCAAGAACAGATGACTGGTTAAAGAAACTTTGGTACATCTACACAATGGAGTACTATGTAGCTCTTAGAAAAGATGAAGTCATGAAATTTACATACAAGTGGTACAATATGGAAAGTATCATGCTAAGCGAAATGAGTCAGAAAGAGAGGGATAGACATAGAAAGATTGCATTCATCTGGGGGATATAAAGTAACAAAATATGAGATTAATACCCAAGAATAGCTGAGATCAGCACCAGGAGGATTACTCCATAGCTTAGTGGCCAGTCGGGCATTCTAGAGGAAAGGGCAGCTCAGATAGAGAAGGGAGCACCAAATAAAGGGTGTTTGGAGGATCCTCCCAGGAGGGGAGATGCATGTCGAAAGTAGACTATGGACTGAACATGTTTGCCACTCAATGCCTCTTTTGCAGACCACAACACCCAAAAGGAGAGAGAGAACACAGGGGATTGCCCTGCCACAGAGGCGGGGGGGATGGGGGGATGGGGGTGGGGGGGATATTATCCATGGTGGTGGAAAATGGGCACTGGTGGAGGGATGGGTATCTGATCATTGTATAATCAAACCCAAGCACAAAAAATTGTAAATCTACAACTGTACCTCATGGTGTTTCACTAATAAAAAAAATTAAAAAAAAAATAAGGCCAGTCTCTCGAAGTACATCCACAGTGGGCAGGCTTGAGAAAACCCCACCCCCCTTCCAAGTGGCTGCTGCACCCAGAACAGAAAGCCCCCTACTCTGACTGTAGCAGCAGCTTCCTGAGTTTAGCTGACACTCATCACAGTTCACTGCTTTCTCAAATTGTGCAGTGCAATGATCTCAACCCTTCTTACAGGCACCCACCATTTGGAGAAACGCCCTCCACCAGGGCTGATGGCAACCCAAGCGCCATTTCCTCGGCTCACCCACCTCTCCGCAGACATAGTCCCCAGCACCTTTGCTCATGGTTCATTTCAGCCTTGCTTTGTTCTGGAGGGTTCTGCATGCCGCATTGCCCTGCTCACCATCCCTTCCTGGGTGAGGGGAATGCTCTTTTGTTTGTGGCGGTGACTCACCCCATGCGGGTGTCCCCTGCCTCCCAGCCACGTTCATTCCATCCACCGGCTCAGACACCCATCTGCTGGGCCCGGTTGCTTGATTTGATTCTTTGATCTGGGTAAGGGAGCTGAACATCGTTCAGATAAGGGCCAGCGACTGGTAATCAGTTCAAAGTCATTCTGTGACTTTCTACTGAGAAGGATGGCGAAAACCCATCCAGGAACCTAAACAAGGAGATTAGTTCCCGCCCTCAACCAGAAGCGCATCCAAAGTTCATCTGAACAGTGCTCCTTTTCAAAACCACTTCAAGCCCCTAGTTGGGCAGAATTCCAAGCGCCAAGAACTCTCTGGCGGAGCGCTCTGTCTTCCAACTTTATCTCAGATCTCATATTTAGAATTACAATCTTTTGAGACATCAAGCCAAATGTTTTAAAAACAGAATTCTTCCTTAGACAAACAGTATCTATTGTCAGATAGGAGCATTTCCATCCTGCCTGTCCTCTGGCTTCACGAAACCAGCCATGGAGACACCCCCTGAACGCTTCTCTATGGAATCTCCACAGGAAGCTCGTGGGGCTTAGGGTTCCTAACCCGGGTTTAAAGACCTTCCATGTGGGACTGAGAGAGAGTGGGCAGAGGAGCTCTGAGGGTATGTGCAGAGATCATGGCGGCTCTCCTGTCTGAGGTAGTCAGAGGCGAAGCGCCAGGGACCAAACCCTGGCCATGGTTTTGTTTTATTTTGTTTTGTTTTGGTTTTTTTTTGCTTTTTGGGTCACACTCGACAATGCACAGGAGTTACTCCTGGCTCATGCACTCAGGAATTACCCCTGGTGGTGCCCAGGGAACCATATGGGATGCTGGGAATCGAACCCGGGTTGGCCGTGTGCAAGGCAAATGCCCTACCCGCTGTGCTATCACTCCAGCCCCTATGGTTTTCTAAGCGGGCTCCCAGGGAAAGGGAGTGAAGACGTGAATGCACCCAGAGGCACGGCGCCATTTCCTTTGGGAGTTTCCTGTCATGGCTGAATTGCACCTGAATGACTGAATAAAGACGTCTGACTGGATACCATTTAAACGCCTTTGCTACGGGCCTGAAAATGATTATTTTCTAGAACCGGGACAAAGGAAGGCAGCAACAACTCGAGAATCTCAGACTCTGAGCATTTCCTTCTCTTCAAATGCTGAGGAGAGCTTTGAGCGCTGACTCCAGAGACCATAGTTCAATTGCTACAAACAGTCTCGTGAAACAGAACCTGTTTCTGGAGTCCAAGGCACAGCGTAGTGCTCTGGCCCCCCAACGGCACTTAGGGAAAGAAACAGCTCCTCAGCTCTGCCAAGTATGGCTGGGACAGGCCCTAGGCTCCCCCCCATAAGAGGAGAAATACTCAAGACGTGCCTCTCAGTGCCAGGTTGATGGTAAATGCTACTTTCCCCGAGATCTTTCCTCTCATTTGAACAGCAGAGCGGGCAGAGCTGGAGTGTGGCAGTAATGCAGTCGTTTGACCAGGCCACGGCACATCAGCCACGGTGCCTTGCGGGGAGAGGGGCCTTTCACACTGACTTCATCAGAGAGCCTGGGAGAGACGCAGGAGAGGTGAGACACTGGCTCAGTACCGGCCTACACGTGCCCATTGGCAGTCAAGGCCCTCGTGTGGAGAACTGGGCACCTGTGGGTCGGGCCAGCTCACCCCGCACCAGGACGCCCGGCCCCTAGAGCAGCTGCCCCTACGGGCTTGGCTTTGGCAAGCTGTTGCCTCCAGAGCTTAGCCTGGATGGCCACTAAAGGGTTACAGAGAGGGGTCTGTTTATCTCTCTACCTGCTAAAGACCAGGCCGCATTCTTCAAATACACCCTGTGGGCAGTGTCCACCCCCCACACACCTCACGCACCTCCAGGCATGAAGACTTGGACGAGCTACTCAGAGGAGCTGGGCCCCGTCCCCACAGTGGGAGCTAATTACCAGCCACATGAGAACACGAGAAACCACCCAGGCCAACAAAAGACAGCATAATGCTCTGTTCCAAGGTGCCGTACGCCAAGGACTCGGAACATTCAGTAAGGGCTGACCGCAGCAGCGACACAAGCTGCCGCCCCATCCCACCCAACAAAGGTCTCCAGGGGGGTTTCCTAGTAGACGGCCTTCCAGATCAATCTGGCCAATGAATGCCTGAGAAAAGTATTCCCTGATCCCTTTCCTCTGGCCTGCTCCAACATGCCTGCAGGAAGGAAAACAAAAGGCCGAGGGCCGGGGTTGTGGCCCTTACCCTAACCTAGATAGGAGATGAGAAAGCCTGGAGCAGACAGCCAATGGGAGGCCCTGGCGGTGGGATGGGCTGGGAGCCTCCGAAAGAATGTTGGCAGGACTGATGACTGATAAGGTCAAGGCTTCACCACCTACCCCAAGAATTCAGGGTGGGTCAGCACTTTCTCATGGGAGATAAGGCCGACTCTTTCCCAGCCACCCACAGACACTTCTGATGGCTCCTCCTAGGCCAAAGGCCTGCTCCTGGATCTATGGGAGTAGATCCCAACTCTGGGAATCACCAGAAAGCTTTTCGAGAGGCTGGCCCCACCCAGGCCAATTAAGGCAGCAACGGCACTTAAAACCCCATTAGAAGATTCTCACTTGCAACGGGGTGGAGAAGCATCCATGTAGTCCAGGGGCTGGGAAACCTGGCCAAGGCCCAGGACCGGATGGAAAGTGCAGGGGTTGAGGCAGTGACTTCGCATGAAGCTGACCCCGGCTCTGCGGATGGTCCCCTGGGTCCCGCCAGGAGTAAGCTCTGAGCGCCACTGTGTGTGGTCCAAACCCCCAGCCCCACTAAAAAGAAAAGCCCAAAGGGACAGAGAATAAGTATTTCAGTCTCTGGGGGCCACATGCTCTGTCAACTGTTCACTCTGCTATCACAGTTGATGAGTCAGTGGGCATGACTGGGTTCCAAT